TCTGCCCGAAATCTCTTTGGTTTCCTTCTAAACCTAATCTTATCAATACGCTATCCAGATCTAAACTGTGCCGCCTTCGGTGTTTTTCTCTACCACCTCTCTCTCTCTCTCTCTCTCTCTCTTTTCATTATTCTACTGTTTGCTGGCGGCATTTGAAAGAACTCCAAAGCCAGCATCCACATAGCTACAGACACTTGCTGCTGATGCGGTCGAAAGGTCAAGGTGGGCCATTGTTTGAAGTATTTTTTTTACATTTGTGAGTAAATATTCGTAGTAGTTTTCACTTTTTTATATACAACTCGTACATACAGTAGCAACTGGTGTGGCCAGGCCCCAAGAGCAAGAGTGCCCCAAAATGATCTGGCGAACCTTTCGCAATTGAATTTCCCGAAATTCACTTCCGTTTTGCACAAATTAGCAGGTTAAATATTGTTTATAAATAACAGAATCACGTGTTAAAGGCTTGCCTCCAGTTCCAGGTGCAGCTCCAGATTCCAACCCCCTCCAGATCACTCGCAATCCGGCAGCTGAGACGTGTTTGCATGCTAAAAGTTCTTACAACTTTTCACACTTTAAATGACTTTTGACAACAATTAAAATACTTGCATTTATATAACATTTATACTGAATATACATACATACATATACTATATGGCTACAGAATGCCAGCCCCCAAAACTGGCGGGAATTATGAAATTTAAAAAAAAAACCCGCACTTCCCTTGCATATCATATGGTAGTATGGCGAGCGGCACTTTCGCCCACAATTAAAGGCCAATCATAAAGCGGCGCACACGACTCGTGGTGTGGTGTTCATTGCAAGCCAATTTGCCAATTAAGTTATTAAAAACACCTTGTCGATGACACATACGAAACGATCCTCTCCGCTCCGGAGTGGGACGGGACGGTACTGACTCCCGCCCATAAATCGAGTATCAATGGGACTTGACTTATTTTAAGTCGAAAGTCACATGCTGAGCTTTATGCCTCCGATTTGGCGGAACGGAATTGTTTGTACCCCAGTTGGTGTGGAGATTCCCTTCTGGCCTCTTTGCCAATCTTATCTCAAGCCGAAGGCTTTGGTACAAAAGTCATTGTATTTTTTCTGTTCGCTCTAGCATTGTAAAGTCTCTGTCGGCTATAAAGATTAGAGCCGATATTATGGTTAGTACCATTGTAAAAGACATATTTAAGATAGCTAGCTTTGCTCGTTTCCTCGCCCAGTTTATTTAGTTTTTTTTTTTATTATATGGCGGACACAAATATGGCCAAAGTATTACCCCGGCAAACTGGAAAAAAAAAACCCAGAACCAACGTAACCCCATGACCCATTGGCGGTGGTCAGCCTTCGTCTCAAGCGAGAACACTCAACGCTCAAGACCCTCCCCTCCAGTTCCCACTTCACACCAAGCCAATCCACTCCACTCCGCACTCCAATTTGTGGTCTCAGTTTTTGTATTTATTTTCTTTTATTCAGCTGAACGAGTATATCTCTCGGCATCGATGACCCTCGAAATGTCAATTGGTATGGCAATTTCCTTGCCTTTGCCTCCACAATTCGTTTTCGTTTTGTGGCAACTATTTTAATTATTTAAGTATTTACTTACGTATTTTTACTAAAATTGTTCTCGCCTTAACCGTTGTCGATCAATCCGTATGATTTCGTTTGATTGATTTATTGTTCAGATCCGTTGAAACTTGTTAGCGACTCAAACGTTTCGATATTTTTTTGCGGCTTGGAATTGTAATATCTACAGGCAACAGATCAAGGGGAAAATTGGGCACTAAAGCCATGAAAATTACGAGAAAGTTACCTTGGGATAAGCAAGTGCTTAGTACACGCTGTGCCATGTACTATGGAGTGTATCTAAGTTAGGATTATGGGTGGGAGATACATCATATCTTATCGGGACACAATCGAGATATTTTAAGTTTACAACACCAAAGATACATGTGTACCTATGATAAAGATAAGTTTTGATAATACTTCTGCTAAAGCCATTCAAAACTTTTACTTCCATGTGTCAACACAAAAGAGTTTATTTTTAACTGATGAATATTCATTAGGCCTATTTTATGATTGATGGAAACATTCCCCTAGATTCTAAGTTTCTTGGCAATTTTCATTCTCACAATAGATTTGTTGAGTTCTTTTTTATATGAACTGCTCGCACATTGATTCAAAGGTCTCGGCTATTTGCTTGAGAAATTTGAGTCTACATTTAACAGGTCGATGCTGTTAATACCCTTCTATCTTTTACAAAGATTTCTAGATTATGTTGTAATATTTTGTTTTCAGTTAAACTGTATAGCCCATAAAATCGTACACTTATGATATATCTATTTTTCAGGTAACTCTATGGACAAGCCGCTCTATATTTATCTTATCCATTCCACAATTCCATATTTTTTGCATAAAGTATCCAACATTTTAGTACACTTCGCAACAGAGTTTCTGTATAATTATTTATATCACTTTATTTTGGCGCTCCATCGCATCCCCATTAATGGACATCAAATATAAAAGACTTTCTGGCCGCTTCAATTAATTTGCTGTACGAGTATATAACGCAAAATATTTTGTATGCGAGTAAAATATTGAGTGCTATGTTTCTGTCTGTCTGGTTACCAGTTCAAGCTGGTAACATTTTCGGTCATGGACGATGAAGCCAGTTTGAGCTAGTTTTTGGATATAGTAGCGTGTGGCATAAGGGGAGGACGGTAGAGCACGGGGCTTCTGGGTTATTATGATATTCTGAATTTTTAGATATGTATTTATATGAGCAAACATATCAATTGCAGAGTTTCATATCACGTAGCGGTTCGCTGACTCAATTGGAAATGACAATGCTAAAAACCCGTAAACAATTTTGAAGATCATCTCAGAATCGTTAGAGCTTTGCATAGCTTAGTGGGGCTATCCTATCGTATTGCATGGATCGTGCTGGACAGTTAATTGTTTGGGGGCGAGCAATTATTGAAGTTTGTCACTTTTCATTAAGCAAAAGATGGAAAAATCCCAGTACAAAAGAAGCCAGAATGTACAGTGAAAATTCAATTGAACGGAAAGTTATATTAATATATATTACATTTCGTATTAGTAACTTTATCCAGATAGCACTGCTCGTAGCAGCGAAATTATCTTGAAATCAAGTTGATCTCAAGTCTGGACAAAGTGTGCCATCGATAAGGTAGAAAAGATAAACCTGGAATGCTGGTCGAAAATCTTGCTTATGGGATTTATATGGAAAGTACTAAATTATCTGACGATACATCAGCTCACAGATTTATACGTCTCTCTCTCTATCATAATAGTAGAGCCAGAGATTACTACTACTTGTGGGGGGACTTTTCACAGCTGCACGAGCTGTAATTTCCAGTGAACCAATTTCGACAATGATCTGACAATGCCTAGATCACTCAACTCAGACATCTCTGAAAAAATATACATATAGACAGAGATATAAATATATACCCCACAGATAGAAATGTGTATATATGTATTTATACCATAACGCGACTGCATTGAACCGCATCTGTAACTGGTAAAATCAAACAAAAAAGTTTTGTCTGCTGTGTGCACCAATTTATGCAGATAATTATAACAAAACAAAAATAATACTTGTGCAACTGAAGCTAAAATTGAAACAGCATTTGACTGGATCGGAATAAAATGAGAGAGATGCACAATAGACGAGGTGGTTCAACCGACTAAAACGATAAGCACCCTCCCTTTCTCCGTGTCCCACGGCCGCCTCCCTCCGTTTACGTCTCCGTCGGTTTTGCACTAAATTGCATTGCATAAAGACCGAAACCGAAACCCGCCTCTAACCGGTAAACGTTACTAACTAACTATCTATGTCTCTGGGCAGCAAAAACAGCAGCAGCAACAATACTAATTCTATTGGAGATACAACAAGTTGGCGCATATATTGAGTGTATGTACATACACCCTACACTCTACACTTTGGGGGATGTACGATCGCTGTAATATTCGCTCACAAGAGCGTTCATATTCTGTCAACAACTTGGATTATATTTATATATACATAGTATATACTCATCAAAAGTCATTCAAAGTCCAAGCATATATGTGCATACATATGTATGTATGTATGTCGTGTTGTTTTTTTGAGTTCTTCAAAATAATCTTCTGAATATTTTACATATTCAATATATGTATGGTAGGGACAAAAAACTTTTGTTTTTCCCAAGTAATCAAAATAAGTAAAATTCCTTGATATTATATTTATACAAACCGAATGAAAAAGAATGTTTTTTTGTTGCTGTTTTGGTATTATATTGCCATGATAATGCGAGCATATAAGATACATATGTATATGATGGTTTATTCCATTTGATCTCTAAATTCGCTTTGAATATACATATTTAAAAAATGTATACTCATCATCCCTTAAAAAAGTTGTTAGCAATCCGTCTACGCTGATTCCCATGAAGAGCAGAGTGCAATGTTGAAATTTATCTAGTTTTTGTTTTTTGCCAAGTTTTTATGGCTGTGTATAGAACGGGATATAAAACTGGCGCGTGCAAGTTCAACGACGACAACGGTGTGTACCGTTAAGTATTCAGCGCATAATCGATTGTTCCTATAAACTGAAATCGAAATCGAGTTTCAAATGAGCAAATAAAATAAAGTTCCTTGGGCGGGTTGGGTTTACGCTTCACGCATGTGGACGACGACGATCAACGTCTACTAATTCGATCGATTAAGATAGCAACAGTTTTTTACGATCATACATACTAAGTACACACACACATGTACATATAAACTTATACATATGTACGACAAATCAACTCCTTGATCCACGATCGTTGGTTGACGAAACAAACCCCCGATGCCGCGCTAATAAAAAAAAAAAACTCCAGCAGCAGCAGCAGCAGCAGACAGGCAGCCAGCCAGCAGTGACACCAGCGTCGTCGATTGTCGCTTATCTGCTCACATATAAACTAAAGTCGGGGGGAATAATTTCTCATTTGTAATTTAACAGGCGGCGTGCGCGGATCGAGCAGAGAACAAAGCGCCAAAAGCGGGGATCGAAGATCGTTAACAGTTTTACAGTTGTTGCCGTTTGCGTTTGCGTTTGCGTGTGTGTTGCTAAAACATTGCTAAAACAAAACTCGACTCACACACACAGAAACACTCCAAACACAGACACAATCCACAGACAGACAGACCGAGAACGAGAGAGAGCCAGAGAGAGATCGGTGCACTACTGAAATAACGGAAGAGGGGCCAAAGCGAAAAAGAATCAAGAAGTGCTTAGAGGAGCACCAGCAGGCCCACTTGCCGTTTCGTTCTCGCTGCGTGTGGTTTTAATTGCGTTTTGTAATTGTTACGCATGCGCCCAAACCCGAAGTGTTAAGGAAGTACAAGTATTATAAAAAGAGACGGGGAGAGAATAAACTGTGTTTTGTGTGTGTGTGCTTGCGTTCGTGTCCGTGTGATATCCTTTGCCCATATATCCGAACCAATCCTGTGTAACCGTGGCGAAGGAACTGAGCAACTTGCTAACGTTGCAAAACAATAATCTCGAGATGACACAACAGCCGCAATGGGGCATAAACCTATCACGGTGTAAGTGTCCCATGCCCCCCACATGACAACCAACCCCCTTCATCATTATTTGCAAAACTTTCTGTGCTATCTGCCATATCCGTAAACCCCGAATTGGGAGTGTGCTTTATTGAATATTAAATACGAACCGATGGGGATGGGGATGGATACGTTGAACTCCGAGCGGAGTATTCTTGAAATGAAATGATTAAACAAAGTATATTTGAGTGGTTTAACCGACATTGACCGACAACAAAATAAATTCCTAAATATATAATATATGTATACATTTTTGTACATACGAATACGTTGTATACCGATGTATAATGCAGAAATGAAAACAATGACAGAAACGTTTCTGCCAGACACTTCCGATTCAGTTAGTGGTTTTATTTAGTATTTCGTGTCTCGAATTTTACGCCTTTTTTATTTCGGTTTTTTGTTTGTTGTCATTCGTGGACTGTTTCATGTCCGATCTGTTGGGTTGGCATTCCCGCCACGAGCTAACATATAATTCATATAAAATAATATACTACTATGCATGTATTTATTTTGCATACGATTTGCATGTGAAGTGACGATCGTGGAACGGGGAAGTCGCTGCGTCAGGTGTGTAGGGTGCCCATCAATCGAGCCTGTCAATTCTCATAATCGCTTTGCAATGGATCCCATTAAAACGAAAAACAGTTATTTATTATTGTTTTATGGCCAGGAATGGGGAACGGTCAATGGGCTCCCGGTTTCCTCTCCTATCCGTTCGTTCTGACCTTTTTTGGACAAGGTCAATGCTATATACGAAATTCGTTTATAAAAGTTTGGGCAGTCAAATCATTTCGTTTGTTGCCCTGTAAATCCATCTTTTGGTAGAATCCATCTGCTAGATACGTTTTTCCCGTGTTCCTCATTGAGAACTACTTTCTCTGGAATGTCCAATAATTACAGTCTTGTTCTCGTTTTGTTAGCTTTTACTTGCCATACAATCAATAGACTGCGGACTGTTGTTATTTGCTTTGAAAAACAAATACAGAGAATCGAATAAGCCTGGGAATGGGTTGAGTTTAACATCTTGAAACGTACTCACATGGTTAAACGTGAGTTCTTAAGTATTTTGTTAGCCTAATGAGTTGTTAAATCTATGACTTGGCCATAAATCATCGGATGCAGGGCATTGATTGGCACTCAAATGAATAATACCCGCCCAAGTACCCAAAACACCGAAAAGTACCCCTACCCTACCCAACCCCGCAAGCTAATCGCTTTGTTTCATCACTTTCCCTGCACTCGGCGCGTCTGCCCCAATTGTTCGATGCGATGCACGCTTATCGAACATGTGGATGGAAGGGCGGTGGGGCATATCTCGTATGCAGCAATCGCACATTAAACTCGCCCCCAACCCAGCCCAGCCCCATTGACATAATTTTCGCAAGACCGCGGAAATGCAAGCGCCTCGAGGAAAATTATGTAAAAATGTGAAAATGGAATATTTGTATTTGTGCCGTGGCCGTGCTATCAATACTATGGTCTGGAACTGGACACTAGAGATTGCACCGGACCATATAGCATTTCATATATAATATGTAAATATATATGTAAATATATATATATGTATGTACATATGTATGGAATGATGAAGACAAAGAGTCAGAGACCCAGAAATGTCAACAGACAGACAGGAGATTGTTTTATTCTTTTTTCACTTTCTCATTATTGCAATGAGTGCATGGACACATATGTATGTACATATGTATATACTTATAAGTAGTGACAGATCTATTGGGTGGACACACACTTTCCCATACTAGGAGTTTTCCTAGTACTTATCTTCTGGAAAGTTTTCCTCTTTTACTACATATTCAAGAACGGGATAACACTAGAAATTCCTGATACTTTCTTTATTAAAATATTTGCCCCATGCTTCAGTGATATCCTATAGGCCCCGTATTTATGTTGTACTCCAATGAGATTATAACGATATTACCTGCTTATAAAGCACTCCAAAATAATACCTAGCACTAGCTTTATATGCGATAAGACTGTGTGTGTTATTCACTTCTGATTAAATCTTAACTAGCTTATCGTGTGATGTGATGCGACTTAGATCGAGTGTGGTCATATATTAACGCCAATAAGCGTGATTGGTCAAGTAAAATATAGCCATGCTTCTCGAAATGAACGAGAAATATGATTAGCGCCTATATTTACATACATATACGTTCATACTTATTTATACGTAAAGACGGTGGCCTAATCAACTTATCACTTTCGGGAATCATACGAAAAAGAGGTTGTATTTCTTATTTGACACTCGTGTGACTTTGGGGCGCGTATAAATTTTCTTGTCGGCTTCGTTAAGCGATATGTCAAATATTGACACATTGTTAATTTTGCCAGTTTTGGAGTTTCGCTTTTTCAACCAGCACCACTCATGCAAAATATTTAATAATAATGTTAATTTATAAACAAAATAGGATGCCAGCCAGTGACGTCTTTTGGAGGGGTTTATTAAACTGAAAGAGTGGTGCCTCGTTCTTCATTATAAAGTCAAACAGGTTGCTTAATGGATCTTACGTAGGCGAAATGTCTGGCGGGAATCGTCAATAGATGATCCAACAAAATTCTTATGAATTTGATTGTGATTATATTTACCATAGAACGCGAATTGTTTGCTCATTTACAATGCAGACCAAACGTCTCTGTATTGTCAACAAAGTTGTTTATTTGCTCTTCTGGTTAGAGTAGGGATCGCTTTGAGATCATATAGGTCAATGTTAACCCTTATTCTTAGCAAACTCTCTCAATTAATTGATCAATTCAACCTTCAAAATTTCATGAACTTGAGCCAGAACCCAACAATTGAGGAGGTTCCGCTGCCCCAAAATGGGAGCCCTATAAATTTATACTGAAGACCATTTAATTGGCAGTGCCGTCAGACCGTTGCTTTATTTTATGGTCATTATGGGTTCTCCGTTTGATATACATACACACTCGAGATTGGTGCCATATGCACTCCAAGTGTTTTATCGCAGATCTATCACACTTGGAGCCTTATCAGCGCATAATACCGTTTAACAATTTGATTATGATATGAGGGTGTTGTATAACCCGCGCGCTCCATCGATCGGCGCTTGGTGATTGATAATGGCCCACAGAACAAGTGCATAGCGCCGTTCCTATATTGCCTAATCGCGTGCCAAAGGTTTTCCATGGCACCATAAACAAAACACAGCCCAGGAAGCACCACATATATGGCCATAATTTTCACACAAAATTCTTCTTTGGAATTCCATTGATTAACACTACAGTAAAATAATTTGGAAATGAAGGCAAATAAATTTCAACGAATATTTGAAGTACATTTGACTTTAAAGACGGTACAAAATAATCATATATTATTATTTCAATGATTTATACAAAATGATTTAAATGCATACGAGTATATGGTTTTAATATAATGTGTGTTGTCAAGGGAATAACTTTTCTGGGAGTCTATAGTCGTTATATACACACTCGTATGTAGATAATTATATGATGAATGCTCGTGATTGGATTTATGTAATGCAAGGGAAAATATCCATTAGAAGATAGTGGCTTTGGGGAGATACTTATCTCCTTTATTGAAATACATTTAGCTGTGCCAATCTATGATAAAAAAGTGAGGTTTTGTAGGCTTAGAGCGGAGTAAATATAATAAATATTAGGGCCACGCATGAATCCACAGTACATATAAAATCACAGCTATACTCATACCTCTTCGATCATTACGAATCCTACACTGAGTATCTATTAGGTATACCTCCATCAGTGGATAATGCTCTTGAAGTTATAATTATGTAAACGAAAGGTTTATGGAGTATTTGATCAATATTCTCCATCAGTGGGATGTCTGTGTTACAATATCAATCAATATTATTTAGGTGCAATCTCGTGAAAGTCAAGTCGTGTAAGATAAATGATATGATGAGCACGATATAGGCCCTGGCGGCTATGTAATTGATACTCGTTTCGTAGCTCGCCATAGGGCAATCAACTGCAATTTGAAGTTTATCAGCGCAAATTGATTTGTACCCAATTGACCAGCCCCGCCCGCGATGAAGAGCAACTTGTCAAACTATTTATTCGCACGCTAACCAAATTAAATTGTCTAAAATTGTTTAAAACAATATGCGGTGGATACCCCATACCCATACCCAACCCAGACCGTGCCATCAAAATGTTTGACGCAAACAATTAATATCGTATATTCGATTCCACGTCACTCTCTCATCTGTCTTTTTTTGTGCTGCAGATTTTATAATACCCCAACGTGTGATATTGGCCATTATGGGGTTCCTGGCGATCCTCAATGCCTACACAATGCGTGTGTGCCTCTCCCAGGCCATCACAGTGCTGGTCATAAAGAGGAATGTCACGAATGAGGATAGCGATGTGGCCATCTGCGAGCCAGATGATCTGGATGAGGGCGTCAGCGTAAGTTTCATCTGCAGATACCCATAAATGAAACCCATTTTCAAGCCTTAACATCCATACAGACTGGCGGCGATTACGATTGGTCGGAGCAGCTGCAGGGCCTGATCTTGTCCTCCTTCTACATTGGCTACATTGTCACGCACATTCCTGGCGGTCTGCTGGCCGAGAAGTTTGGCGGCAAATGGACCCTGGGCCTGGGCATCCTCTCCACAGCTGCGTTCACTATGCTCACACCTCTGGCCATTGAGAAGGGCGGCTCCGACTGGCTGATCGTATCCCGTGTGCTGATGGGTCTGGGCGAGGGCACCACCTTCCCCGCTCTCAGTGTGCTCCTTGCTGCCTGGGTACCCGCGAACGAACGCGGCAAGCTGGGTGCCTTGGTCTTGGGCGGCGGTCAGGTGGGCACAATCATGGGCAATCTGCTATCTGGCGTCTTTCTGGATGCTTACGAATGGCCATTTGTGTTCTACTTCTTTGGCGGCCTGGGTGTCATTTGGTTTGTCATCTTTGTAAGTGTCACATGCCTCATCCTGCCTTCTCTGTTTGGCTCTAACCAAACCCTTTGCTCTCGCCCACAAGGTTTTCCTGTGCTACAGCGATCCCTCCAGCCATCCGTTCATCAAGCCCAGCGAACGGGAGTATCTTGCCAAGGAGATCGGAACGATTGGCCGCAACGAGTCTCTGCCCCCGACGCCCTGGAAGGCCATCCTCACGAATCTGCCCATGTTCGCCCTGGTCTCTGCTCAGATCGGTCACGATTGGGGCTTCTACATCATGGTGACGGATCTGCCCAAGTACATGGCCGATGTGCTGCAGTTCTCCATCAAAGCCAACGGCCTGTACTCCTCCCTGCCCTATGTGATGATGTGGATTGTGTCCGTGGGCAGTGGCTTCATTGCCGACTGGATGATCCGCAAGGGCATCATGAGCACAACAAATACCCGCAAGGTGATGACCGGTCTGGCCGCCTTTGGTCCAGCCATCTTCATGGTGGGCGCCTCGTACGCTGGCTGTGATCGCGTCCTCGTTGTGATCCTCTTCACCATTTGCATGGGCCTGATGGGCGCCTACTATGCGGGCATGAAGCTCAGTCCCTTGGACATGAGCCCCAACTATGCTGGCACCCTGATGGCCATCACAAACGGCATTGGAGCGATCACGGGCGTGATAACGCCATATCTGGTGGGAGTGATGACACCAAATGTGAGTGCAACAACTCTTCTGCAACCGTATCATTGCAATGCATGCTAAACTGATTTTTCTTCGATTGTAGGCCTCGCTGCTCGAATGGCGTACTGTGTTCTGGGTGGCCTTTGGCGTGCTGTGCGTCACAGCGGTCGTCTACTGCGTGTGGGCCTCGGGAGAGGTGCAGCCGTTCAACAATGCACCCATCCAGCCCCGCTCCGTGGACTTTGAGGCCGAGGAGCGCAAGACCACAGCCTTCAAGAGTCCCGAGTACGACTACAACAGCGGCAGTACAGGTGTACATCAGCGCACGGAGCGAAGCTCCTAAATCGGCATCGCCTTCAGAATGTGCCATATTGTACTCTAGTTGAAAATGCTGTCCCCGTCGAGTCGCACGAGTCGAGGTTCCATTTATATACATAGTAGATATAATACGTATACGCCCTTATTGCTGTTCAGATAGCTAGTTTTATAGTATTTCCGATCTGGCCGAGATCCCCAGCACAGGGCCACCAACTAATTAACTTTTAAGCGAAGAATTTACTTACACTCACCCAAAAAAAAAAAAACAAAAGAATGGAAAAAAAGAAGATGAAAGTCGCACGTGGCAGTGTGTACTTCTGTGTGTGTACAATTTTCCTGTTATAGGTAGGATAATCATCCCTAATTAATACCGTCGTCCTGTCCCCCGCACCCGCACATGTCCCCGCACATGCAACGTACTCTCTTAATTATTATTTAGTATTTAATCGAAACCTGAAAAGCAGCAGCTGAAGCCGATTTCAACGTCTAAGATTAGATAGAGCAAGTGTATACCGAGTTCGTATTGCCCGTACCCGTACCGTACTGTAAAGGCCCCCACCCACCCCCGTCGGATGGGATGGCGAAATATTGTATGAGTTTTAAATTGTTGATCAATGTGTAACGCCAAAACGTGTTTTTAACAAACTCTGTTAAGACATAACTGTTTTTATGATGTTAGCCAAATAAAGTGCATAAAGAAAATGAAAAAAAAAAACGAGCAATCAATGAAATCGAGAGACCTGGCCAAACACAGAGCACCTCGCTATATGTAGCACCTTTCTGGCAAGGTTTTTCATTCGACTTTGGTACCCCGCCCTACTTTAAGGTGATTCCCTCATAGACAACTGAATGGAAGCTATGGAAAACTTATATAATCCATAGAAATATTAAAGGATTCCCATTAATCATTCGGCATTCAATGTTCTTGCTGTGGGAGAGCTCTGATAGGTCTTCCGGGACAAACTAAGCTGCTACATGACTTGGATTGACCTGTCCAATGAGAACTGCCATTGACGATGGATACATGTACGTCCATGCCCACAACTGTTTGCACTGCTCCAATTGTTCCCATTTCTTAGGGATTTATTCTTCGACAATCGACGCCAGCAAGACGGTCAAGCAAAAAGGGCAGAACAGAATGGAAGAAAGGATGAACACAAACAAATACATACACACTAAACCTCGGTCCCAAGAAAGCGAAAACGAACTACATGTCGTGTGCATGACAAGGAGCTTTGCTACTCGACTCGAGCCTCGCCTTCCCTTTCAGGGAACTAAAGAAAGCTAAAGATATGAACCCAATACATTTCGTTTCTATTCAACATTTTTGATTCCCGAATTTATTGTCAAATATTTAAGTTAATTGAAAAAACATATTTTCTCTTTTATTAATGTTATCAAAGTGATTTCCATTTGCATTCAAAATGTTTTCCATTCAGCATATGCTACGCGATCTGTTCAGCTGTAAGTATTTCTTTAGGATAATCCATATTGGGGTAGCGTTTATGAAGTGTTTCCATCTTTAAGGAAGATTTTAGGGTGCAGCAGCGGCTGGTCCTCTGCTGCTTCAGCCTCTTGGCCATCATCAATGCATACACGATGAGACTGTGCCTGGACCTTTCCCTGAATCGCATTGCCCTGGAAGGTTGTGCTCATCATCCTCCCCCTTCTTCTACTCCTCCGCATTCAGCTGCACAGAGCAAGTCACACAATTGGTTCACAGAACTGGCTGCTCGATTGAATCAAACGGAAAACATGCTAAGAGCCAGACTTCGGGCTGGCAGGGAGCATCTGTACCATCCCACGAGGGTGCCTCTCGCAGCAATCGAGCAGCCGGTAAGGGTAAAAGTGCCATCTAGTGCGTCGATAAAAGTGTCCTCTCGCGAGCGGATAAGCTGCTCCGAGCTGTGGTCGCGACAGACCCAAACCCTGGTCACGGTGGCCTTCTATGCCGGCTACATGCTCACCCACATCCCAGGCGGCCGCCTGTCGGAGCGTTGTGGCGGCAAATGGATATTAGGAGCCGCCATCATGTCCTCGGCCATTCTCACGCTGCTGACGCCGGTGGCTGTACGCCATGGTGGTCCGTATGCCCTGGTGGCTGTCCGCCTTGGCATCGGACTCTGCGAGGGTCCCACCTTCCCGGCGGTGTCTGCTTTGCTGGCCCAGTGGGTGCCGGAGGGAGAGCGCGGACTGCTGGCCAGCGGTGTTCTGAGTGGTGGAGAGATTGGCATCACCCTGGTGCAGCTGCTCAGTGGGTTGGTGATGGCGGAAGAGGATTGGCCGGTGGCCTTCTATGTGGTCGGTGGTGGGGCTGTTGCCTGGTTCCTGGGATTCGTGAGTTGTATGGACGCTGCTTGAGCAGCGGTCTCTTAACTGGCTTCTCTCTTTCCATAGATCCTGATCTGCTATAGCAAACCCGACAACTGTCCGTACATACAGAGCGAGGAGCGGGATTACATCAAGAGCCATGTCAGTGCCACACTGCTGGTAACATCCAGCAACGCGGGTGGGGACCAACCACCGAATGCGCCCTGGAAGAGCATGCTGATGAGTACGCCGCTGTGGGCGCTGGTTTCCGCCTCCATGCAGCACGACTGGAGTCAGCAGCAGTTCGCCCATGAGTTGCAGAAAGTGCTGGAGGATCTCAGATCCAAGGGCAGCACTCTGTGGGATGAGCTGGAGGCAAGCATAGTGGTGACGGCTCCCCATCTCTGCAATTGGCTGGCCTCTCTCAGCACGGGCACTCTGAGCGACTTTCTCATAGCCGAGCGCATCCTCAGTCGCACGGAGACGCGTCGCCTCATGACCTGGCTGGTGTTTGTCTGCGGCTCCATGTACATGGTCTACTTGAAATCGGATGGTGCACGCATCTGGAGTGTCCTGGCCGTAGGCGCCTACTACGCGGGCGTCAAGCTGCTGCCCCTGGACATGAGTCCCAATTACGCTGGCACCCTGATGGGCATCTCAAATGGCTTGGGTGCGTTGCCTGGTCTACTGCTGCCCTATCTGCAGGAGTTCGAGGCTGACTATGCCATTGTGGGAAGCGTGCGCTCCGCCCTCTGGCTTATCTGTTCCGCTTACATATCCGGCGAAGTGCAGTCGTACAACCAACCGGCGGGCTAAGACCAGGGGGGCCACAAAATCACGACGATTCAGCTTTTACTTATTTTAATCTTACGTTTAAGCATAGGCTATGTGGCTGTGTGGATTCCTTAGGCAACAAAGATTATACATGAAATGAATTTAAACGCTTCAACGGCGAGTTATCGTCATCGTCACACAATTTGATGCTAGAACTAAAGATTGGGGCGGGGGGGGAGGGAAAAAACAAGCTATCGTTTTTTATATATATAAATAACAGGATCAACTTAGCTACAAATAACTGGGTCTGCTTTCCGGTGGTGGTGTGTCCGGCATGCCAATTGCTAAATGCACATATCTGCCGCTAAATACTCTACATGCCTCCCGTGCCGTACATTTGGTTCATGGCCGAGATGGCGTTCATGTCGATGCCCAGATTCTTGGTTACATTGATTTGAGCAATGGCCGCATTGCGCAGCGAGTAGGCATGGACGACCTCCTCAAAGCTTTTGGAATAGCGAACTGCCTGATCGAAGAGTTCAACAGCTCGCTTCAGGTTCGCCCGCTGTACTTCGACGGTGCCGAGCGTCTCGTAGGCCTGCTCACATTTGGGATCCAGCTGAATTGCCTTGTTGAGCGTGTCGACAGCAGACTCAACATCGCCACGCCACTGCAGCGTCATGACAGCCTGGTGAACAAGCAGGGACGCATTTGTGGGCGCCAACTTTGTGGCCTTGTCATAGTATTGCTGCGCCTGGTGGAAATTCTGCTGGTCGGCCATCACCTGGGCCAACATGCTGTAGCACTCCACGCACGTGGGAAACTGTTCGATTGCCTGCTCCAGTTGGCGGACCACATTTTCCAGCCGTAGCTGGTTGTTGGACATGAGCGCCAGACGGTACTCGGTATAGCATTTCTGGACGAAAGCGATGGCATGGTTGGGGGCCAAACGCACAGCCTTGTCGAACTGCTCCAGGGCTGGCTCAATGCTATCCAACATCAGCAGGATCTGGGCACGCTGATGGTACACATCGGGATTGTCGGGCTTCAGCTTCTCTGCTGCATCGAAATCGGCCAGGGCTTCCTCGCGCTTATTCACCTGCATATAGAGGGAGGCACGCCTCAGGTAGGCATAGGCGCGGATTGTCTCATCCGCATCGACTGGAAAGAGAACTCAGTTTTGGCTAGAGTCCACATTTAAGTGAAGATATTTTCTTACCATTGCCGATTATGGCATCAAAGTCTGGTTTGCTCTCTGTGTAGGTGCCACAAAGAAGATGGACTGTGCCGCGCAATAGCAGGGCCTCCACCTTGTACTGGGATTCGGACTCAGAGGATTCGATTTCCTCTGTGCAGGCAGGTATAACGTCATCAAACTTCTCCTCGCGGAAGGCGCTAAGGGCTCGCAGGAAACCGCGCGCCGGTGTCTCCGCCACAGTCGATGGCGGCACGTTTATAGTCTGCAGTGGATCTCCGACAAATGATTGCAAATATGTTCTGATAAAGGACGTGGAGGGCACTACTGGAACCCGGTCGCGCATATGCTTATCGGCATCCGTGCGTCCCGTCTCTTTGAGCACACGATCCGCATACATGATGCTCTGGTTGTTCTGGAACATTTCCAATATACAGGTGGCAGTGACGTCGTTCAGGCACTCCAGCATGTCTTTTGTGGCCTCGTGGGCCCGAGCGCGTCGGAAGTAGGCCTTTGCATAGCGACGATTGTATGCCAAGGAGCTGGAGCAGTCTTCCTTCACTTTGTTCCACTTTTGTAGCTTCTCGTAAGAGGCGGCGCGGTTCTGGTAAAAGATGGCCATGTCAGCGCCGTTCTGCGGTGGGCACTTGTCAATGGCCTTGTCGTAGAAGATTATGGCCTCGTCGTACTTGCCATTGCGATAGCAATTGTTGCCCTCGTTCTTGTAGCTGTTGGCCTCCTTAACGGGAGACAGTTTCTCGCCCAGCTCGGCAGATTTCTGCTTACGCTCCAGTTCCTTGTCCGGCGCTGTTCCGTCAATGGACGTCGCTTGCTTCTCGATTTTTCCCTTGGACCGTTTATTTTCCTCGCCCTTAGACTCGCCGCCAGGCGTGGCGTTCATCCGTCTGACCACATAAGTGCCCAGGCCGATGGCCAGGGGCGTGCCAATAAATAACGCAATCTGCCATTTACTCAACTTTATTGAGCTAAAGTTGAGGGCCATTCTGATGGAGTATGTCTTCTGAAGGCTGCAAGAAAATAATACATACAAATTGTGTAATAGTCCGTTTTCTTATCAACGAGCACGGACCGGGCTGGGCTCCCGCTAAATGCCGGGGCCCTAACCCCTCAACCCCATTGATTTTTTCACCACCACGGCACAGTACTTACTCTTTGGCGAACTTTACACTGAGGTCAATTTAGCAACTTTTAGTTGATGTTTTTACTAATTTCCTTTCAGGATTGAAGGATTTAAAAGGAAATTGTTTACCAGGCCTGCTGATCAGCGTGACCGCGCCGATAACGATAACGATAAAAAAAACCAGGGCAATCCGGCGATCAAACGAGACTTAACCCACTTAACCCCCCTCTATTTAAAAAGTTGAGCACCCTTTGTTAAACCGTCGATAGCCCAGGGGGGCTGGTCGACAATGGGATAACGATATTTTTTATTGATTGCAATCGTATTCCACAATTTTGATATTCAGTTTAATATTACTAGCTAGTTGGCCCTCTCAGCCCTAAACAAATAATTTTATCCAATTCATCTATCAATTTTGTAGAAGATGGTTAGCTTTCAAAACTCCTTTGGATGTAAATCTTATCTGTGTACCGGAATGTGACGACAGTGTTGCTGCTCAACCAAGTTTCTTCTATGCGTATGGACTTTTGTATACCTTATTTCCTTTAATTGATGTTAAATTTGTTGTTCCAAGCTCCATTGAAACATTAATAATGATTTTGTCCTAAGGTGGAAAAATGCAATTTTATGTAATTTACATTACATTTACATGTATTTAAAATTAATTCACTAGAACTCGAATACGCGGGTCGGGCAGCTCTATGAGCGTATTTTCTCTCCAGAGTCATCAGTAGTCCGATCCGTGGCAGGTGCCGGGCTCTCTGGCTGGCCTTCGTCACTAGTGAATACTTTGTACAAGTTTTCGGGTTTCACCAGACCGTGGGAGTCTGCATAGCGCAGGAGATCACAGATGATGGGCGATTCCACGACCAGGATATACTGGCACGTCTTTGGCTCCAGCAAGTACATTGACACGGCGGTTCCACTGGTGGTCACGGGCGTGCACGTTAGCTTGACATCCACCTCCCGCGGCTGGCTGGTGCGATCACAATGTGTTCCCTTCACATAATGGTGCCAAATGGATGACGTGAAGCCAGTGCGGCGTGCTCCCTTTTCAGGATTGGCGATGGCCCACTGGCGGTGTGACTCCTCCGAGAAGTAGCCAAGGAACAGCTCAACTTCACTATTCTTATCCTTGTGGAACTGGCGCACATGCTTTCCATAGCAGAATTCATAGCGCCACCAACCGTTGCCCTGTAGAAAAGATAATCTTGAGTAAAATGGATTGCCTTCGGGGGTAATTTCTTACCCCAGTTAGACAGTTTGCGCCAGATATAAACTGCCTGATGGGCGTAAGCTCATCGATGGGGGCTGGCTGTGTTCGAAGAGCAGCCCCCGCTTTGGCAAGCAATAGCTGTTGGTATTCCTTCTCGGAATCCAGTCCACCCTTGTTCATCAGCTCCATTATGATTTTGTCGACATCTCCGCTGTGTTTGAGTGTTACTACTTCCCCCTCCTTTGGCCACGCCTTGGCAACGGGCTTATTTTCGGCGTCGTTTGAGAGAATCAGATCGGACTCACTTTCGGCCCATTCGCTTAGCTCTGAGCGCAGCATGCTCAATGGCTTATGCGGCTCTGTTTCCGAATTGAAGCACTTGATGGTGGTCTCCTTGGTCTCCTCCGCATGGAAGCCAGGAATGACGCACAATGCAGAGGTGAGTATAATCGCCTCATAGTTGCAGGAGGAGGTCTCTTTGAAGGAGTAAATATCGTCCTTGCCATGGGGATAGCACACATAGCGAACCATTGTGGTGCGTGGAGCGTCGATAATATCGCACATGGTTCCGTCGCTGAACTCCATTTCGAAATACGGATAGCGCGTATTGTCAATCTTGATAGTCTTGTACTTGTGCTTGCCCCCATCCTTCTGTTCCGCCTCCCAGGTCTTTGACAGCAGCTCCGTCTTCTCCTCGCTCCATTTGCCCAGGTAGTACTCCTGGAACTTGACGTTCTTGCCCTCGCGCTCCTCGTGATACTGCCGCACATGATGGCCATGGCAAATCTCGTAGGACCAATAGGCTTCGATGCGGTACGAACAGGTTTGGCCAGAGAAAGTCGGCTTCAGTAAACTGATTGGAGCTGCAAGAAGCGTACATTTGCAGGAAATACATTTGTAGAATGAATATCCCCACTTACACAACTCTGGCTTGTCGGACTTCTCTTCCTCCTTGGGCTTCTCCAGGGCGGGTATCAGACACTCGTATTTCTCTTTGTCCGTCGTAATGAAAGATGTCAGTTCGTTGCCCAAATCCTTCATAAACATACAACAAATATTAGCCATATGCTTCGGCTGCATATCATTCATTCCATAGACTTACTGGTGCACCACTTATTAAATCTGGCACAGCCCAGTCAATTCTGTACAAGATGGAATCGTCGAAATCTTTGGCTTCGTGGGACGCCGCAGCGGACAGCAGGCCAAGCAGCAGCGCTGCTCTTATTGTATTTACTTGAACGCTCGTCATTTTTACTTTTCAAATGTTGCCCACTTGATTATTTTCATGCCAAATAGCAATAAATAGAAAATTGCTGAGCTACGTGTTGTTTTCTTCAAAAAAAATAATGAACAGCTGTTTTCCTAATAGAGGTGGAAGTCGATGCATCGATGTTTTTCAAGTTCCGCCGCATAACATCGATGATTCATCGAAGTTCTTATCTAAAACATCGATGTCTCCAAACATCGTCAAACATGTCAAACTTGACATGTTGGTTTATTTCAAATAAAAACGTTATTCGGAAAGAAAGAAAGACTGAAGGTTATGTTCAACATTTTTTTTTTGTATTTTCATTAACAAATATGGTGGGTTCCCTAACTCGTTTCCGCTGCCGCCGCTGTTTCTGTGCTCCCCCAGCCGGGCTCTTTCGTCTGCAAACGATCCAGTGGCATCTTTTCAATGGCGTCCAAAATGAATTTTACGGAATGCGCTGTGCGTGGCAGCCACTCCATGATGCGGGAAGTGGTTGACACCGGTGGCGGTGCATCGGCATCATCGACGAAATCCGCATCGCCGCCAGATAAGGAGCGAACACCACCCAAATAATCCGTATAATCGTAGTCGCTGGTGAGGGGATTTACTTTGGAGTAGTAAATGGCAGCAAATGTCGAATAGATAATCAGAAGGGCTGTGCCCACCTATTGGTTGGAGGATTAAAATAAGTAACTGGACGGACTCAGCTGACGATATATCAACTAACCTGAAAGACAGCCCAGAACTTGTAGGAGCCCTCCGTAATGACGAAATCGTAGTAGCCCTTTAGGGGATCACCCTTAATGTAACGACCCTCACCCACATCCGTGTCTGCCTTGTCCTCTGCAACCGCGTCACGTCTCTGGCGAAGTCCGCGCACGGAACTCACATCAGCCTTCTCCCCCTTCTCACCCTTCTGAGGCTCTGGCTTCACTGTTGTTGTTGATGATGACATCGCCTCTTTCTCCTCCCCCTTGTCCTCCTCAGAGTTATCCGCAGGCGGAGTCGTACTCGAAGTGGATGTTGGCTTTCTCGTTGTGGTGCTCTTCTTGTTTTGATTCTTTTTATCTCCCTCGATGCGCGGTGGCTTCTTGGAATTAACTCTCATTTTTTGCTGTTGCTGCTGACGCAGGCGATCCTTTTCGGCCTGTTTTTCCGCCTGTTCCTTGCGGAATTTCTCGGTGCTCTTTTGATGACGCTCAGCCATGGAATTCCAGGCGCTCATTAGTGCCTGGTAGAGATCCCACAGTTGCTTTAGGCTCTTGAGAACGGTCACAAAAGTGGATTCTTCCTGAACGGCAACCATCGCGTTATTATGTGTGGGTTGCGGCGGGGGGGCCTGCTTGGCTAGCGCTGTCTCCGCCTGTGGACGACGCTGGAAGCCCATGGGGTAGTCGTACACTTCATCGTAGGCAGGGTAAGGGGCGCTGCAGGTAATAATCGTTAGGACTGACTCTGGCATTATAAAATAAAGGTTTGTTTTACCGATTCGGCGGGGCTTGGAGCTTCCTGTTTTTTGCATCAGCAGCAGGATGCGTGGCCACTGGCGATGGCTTCCAGGGCGCGTAAAAGCCATCATAGGGACGAGCCTGAGCCGCTCTGCCCTCAGATGAGCCATCGCCATCTCCATAGAAATTCTCGCCCGACTGCTGTTGCTCCTCCTGCTGATATGGATAATGTCCAGGCCCATAATCCTCAGCTGCATCATAATAGGGATCCTGTTCGTCGGAGTCTTCTCTGCTCTGGGGCGGACCAAATGAATCCTGACGCTGTGCAACAATGGGATCGGGATCCATGCTTTCTGCATTCACCACCACCGCCCGCTGCTCCTCATAGAAGTCCTTACTCTGCCTGGCTGGAGTCTGTGTGGGATCACTCGAATTGCTGGCCTCCCTGGCTATGCGCTCCACTGTGGCAGTTTCTTCTTTCGTATCGTTTCCAGTTGCCGCTTGAAAATGGCTCCACATGCGATTCAGAATTAACACGTCAGCACCACCGGACTGTGCACGTTCAGCCTCAATTAAAGCCACCACCGTTAGGGTCGACACGAACAGCAGCACGGTGAGCAAGAGCAACCATATGGACGACAGACGCCGCTGCGGCTGCTTCTGCGACATATCTTCGTAGGCTGCCATTATCCGTATTGTATTCTTTCTATTCTAATCTGAGGTTTATATTATTCCGGAATCCTTGATTTGGATTTTGAGGCGCGGCACGGCCAGTCGGCTTGCAGTTCAGTCTTCAACTAAACGAAGAATCTTCAATGATGATCCAGAAAAACCCCGTACCATCGATGGCCCCAGCGATGGTGCTAATACAAGGGAAATGTATCAACATTTACTACGAGTATCTAGAACATCTTCGCTGGGGCCTTAAGTCTTCAGCTCGTTGAAAGGTGCTAATCCGTGTGCCGCGTGCATCGTCGTTATTGGGGCAGTGCTCCAGTTTCGATTTAACGGTTCATTCGCCATCGAGTGCCACACCAATTAACATGTCCCCAAGTCATACTGGATGTCTTTGGTCCATTCCCATTCATTTTGATGCATAATCCCCGACTTTGTTGTTGACCAGAAATTCGTTTTTTTTCGCGGTGAAAGTGTGCAATACTCGGTAGGATTCTATGCTACACAGAAGATGGGAGAGCAGAGCCCAAAGCGGAGGAATTTAGTAAGTCGTAATTGGTCGTAGTAGATCTTGGTCTGTCGCCCAATGTCGTGGTGCATGCACCGTCTGACGTGTGGCACGCGCAACTCACGATTCAAATAGTTGACATATTTACAAACAGAATTTGAGTATACATAAACTCGTCTATCTAATAATTGACAGTGTATATTTCAAGACGAGCGTGTGTCATTCATTAAAGGCTAAGAAAGAAATTCATTTCCTCTTGATTGTGTCTTTGGCTACCACAAAGGTGGCTGGTCTGAGGCATTGGGGGAGGTATTATTGATACGGGCTTATAGATCAAACGTTTTTTGTATTATAAGTAGCCCCTGAAGAAGTGGGTCGACTTAAATATTTAACATAACATTACTATTTAGGGGATAGGAAACACATAGTTTGGTCTGCTGGCGAATCCATCACTGGCGAATCCAGTGACTTCAATTGCTGCCGATGCTGCTCTTGTATATTAGGTGATCTCATCTCGGCTTGCAACAGCAACAGATGATTCCGCTGCAGATGAAGGGTCAAGGTGAGGCGATTAGGGTTCAAGGTGAACAACAGTAACAGATGATTTTGGAAGTAAAGGATGAAAGGTGAAGCCTAATCCCAGAGATTTGCAGATGTGTCAAAACAGATGGAAGAGAAACGTTGATGAGGGAATTCGGCAAGTGGAAAATCGTTTCAAAGGTCGGCTAAAAGATCTTATCCAGCTAAACAGCTAAACCGAAATTCGCTACTCCTTGCTATAATGGCACCCCAAGATTTGTCTGGTATACACATACATATGTATGTATGTTTGTACTTGAAAATTTGATGTGTGACGAACCCAGCAAAGCTTTTATTGTAGAATTTGCTAATTCAATTCTGATGTTTTTTTCTAGATTGTACTGAATTTCTAATGCGTCATTTGTTTACAGCAGAAAACGCACCGCGACAAACTAGTTTCGTTACCCCCAAAATTGTTTATATGTTTCTCAAGATATCGCACTGGTTCTCCTCTAAAAAAGCTCCATCACCTTTTTATTTGTTGTTTTGTTTGAAGCCTACAAAGTGGTGATGGTAGCGTGTTCTTGATTTCTCTTTGTCACGAGCGCTTAGGCTGTAAGGACCTAACCTGATGTGCATCCGTTACAAGATGGACATTTTGATAATGTGAAGATGTTTACCTAAATAAATTTAATAATTAAGTAAAAATGTATATGTATAAACGTAAAAATGGATACATACATATATGTATAAGAGCTTTGGTAATAGCGACGTTTCGTCGTTGCTTGGACACGCACCCATCTCTACTTAAAAATAAAAATCTGACAGAGAAAAGCGATTTCTGGAAATAGTACGTGAATAATATAAAATTGTTTGAAACAAAGCGATGGATCATGAAATTCAAGTAGCTGAAATATACTGCTTGCTGTTATCATGATGATTAATATTCAACACATCATACATACTTATACATATGTATGTAACCACCTGATATGCCGCCTGTTTCATTGTTTACCACATACCAAATATAAACAGAAACAACGCAATAAAAAGCCGGCAAATTGTGCAAAGAGAGCGAGAGAATTCCATTAGAGTGGACCTGTCTCGAAAAAGTAAAATATATGTACATTGAGACTAAAGAAAAATCGTTAACCGATCGATCGTGTTCTTAACTTCACTTAATCCTACAAAAATTCATACATCAATTTTGTTTACTCTCTCACAACCACATGCAACGTACAGGCGGAAGAATTACATATATGGTAGGCATTAACACATATGTATGTATGTATACGCGTGTAAGTTATGAACTTTTATGGAAGGTCACGGGAATATTTCCGTTTTGAAAGCAATTTCTAAATATGTACATATAGATATGTATGTATATATGTACATGTGGCTTCGATGATAACTGAAAAGAAAGAAAACACTTGGTGTTACAATTGCATTGGCGGTCGTCGCTGATACTTGAAGATCGACGAGACGGCTGAGCTGAGTGCAAATGAGTTCAACTAAAAGGCTATAAATATGCACTCAAATCGTAAGAGGAACGGAAACCAACAACTGCAGCAAACAAATACATATTCGTCGACAAGGTGCTTTTTTTATAAGGTGAGACACTGTTGTTGGTTTGCACATAACTTTTTAGTTAATTACGTTTTTGTGTGTCTGTAAGAGACGGGGAAACCAAATATAAGGTGATGCCTCACCTTTAGTTAACACACCTTCTGCATACGTATGCATTCATAAATATGTACATGTGTGTATTAATATAAATACAAATACCACCTGAGAGAGCGTTGATTCCAAATGCTGGAAAGTTCTCGACAAACAAATCCAACACCTGAGAGGAGAGAGCCTAAGTTGTGTGGGTTTCTGGAAATTTCTCAATCAAAAATGCAATAAACTCAGTATTGTGTTTCTCTTTATTGTGTATGTAATATCTAAATCAAACTTCATAATGTGAAACTCACTATAGCTTATTAACTAGAAATTGTAAGTCTGAATTAAGTTTAGGAAATAGTTTAAGCTAAGGGTAATTTTTTTTGTTTGTGAAACTATAAGCAAATAAAATTATTATAATGTTCACAAAAAGTTTTTTTCCGTTGCTCCTCCTGCTTCATGGAAATTCAGTGTATTGTGCACTTCCAGTGGCTGTTCCGCTTCCTCTCCACTCCACCACTCTCTTTCTCTGCCCACAAACGCCACTGCGCTGCGCTGCTTGATTTTCAATTTCTTCTTGTTGCCTTTTCTTCTCGTTTGCCTTTTAGTAACTTAAATTCGATTATTTCTTCGTTTTCGACTCTCTTCAACTCTTTGCCTTTCTTTGATTCCGCGTTAGCGGCAGCCCTGCATCAGTTTTTGCAGGCCTTCTTAATGTTGTTGGTGTTTGTGTTCATGAGCTTGGTTAGGATTTTTCTGGAGTGACCGGAGGGGTCGAAGTGGTTGGTGTGCACGCTGGCCTCCTTCTTGGATCGCTGCTTACCGCCGTGGCCAGAGAAAATGTGCTTGTCATGGTCGAAGTTATAGTGCTCGTACTCATCAAAATGTGACTCGGACATGGTTGTTGGCGTTTTATTTAAATTTGACTAAAACGAGCTGCAATATAATGCGTTTGCTTGGTTTTTGCTTTTTCTTTCTTTGCTGTGGCCTTTTGGCTGCAACTATGGACGAATTTTTCACTTTTTTCCCCTTCGCTGCAGAACGTATTGAAATTTTCACTTCTATATCAGACCTTTATATACTCCAAGACAAGAGCTTTCAAAGCTGACAGGGAGAGAATGTGAACTGCTCTCACGTGGAGTGGCCAGACTGTCTGCTTCAAATGTGTTTTCGTGAGCTCAAAAAATCCATATATTTACTATAATTGAATAGGTTTGATTCAGAAAGTAGTCTACATTTAAGATCTCTTAAGATATCTGTCGTTTTTGGTGATACAAGGCATATTTTAGCTTTTCCAAGTCCTCAACATATTCACCAACTTTATGGCAGCACCATTTTACTCTCTTGCTCTCTTTTTCAACAACTGCGCAATTTAATTTTTGTTGTTATATTAACTTAACAAAGTGCGCGTAAACAAAAAAAATAAAAGCACACACAGCGCCAAACATATTTTCTTTGCCTTGTACATTTATTTAAATTATTTTAGAATTTTCTCATAATACACACGTTCTCAAACAACTGGAGGGGCAGGCAGGGAAGAACAGGCGGTTGTTATATAAACTTAACGCTTGCCACCCACCTTGGCCCGCCCTCACATGACCCCGAGGGTGGTGCATTCAAATTGCATCATCATCAGAATTGTTCCGTTACATTTGAAATACCATTTTTGACTTTGAAAGGGAAACGTGATCGTACGCACATATCTACATATAGAAGTGGGCTTGTCAGAACCCGATCCGCTGACCCAGTTCCCTCACACTTCAATCCATTTTTGTTTATTTTTGAAATAAAGCTTTTAATTGGTTTTGGTCTAATTGTTTTTGTATTAAAAACACTTGTTACGTACAACTCAGCTCCCTCCTTCGGTCTGATAAGATTGTACACACTGTCAACTATTGCTCTGGTTATGGTTCATTAGTCACTTGAGTTAGCCAGAGAGCCGGAAAGTTCCACCTGTTTCGAGAGAAACGACGCAATAGAACGGAATCGTTATCACATTCCTCGATAAGAAAGCATTCCCCTTACATTGTAATGGACTCTACATTGTAGAGTCACGAGCTTCCACAATATATGATCAATCGGTTTAACGACTTTCCAAATTCCAAAGGGTCTATCCTATTTGTCACTTTCTTTGGGGAGCAGAGTTTTCAGGCGCTTTTCGCTTGTTGGAGTGCCTTCAAGTGCGTGCTTGCGCGAACTTTTGGGTTCTCTTTGCTTCTTTTTGGCCGGCGGTAGAGTGTCTTCGATCATGGGGAGGTCGAAGTCATCCGGCATTTTGTTCTCAAATGAACTATCCACTGATTCGGACAGTTCCAGTTGTACAGCTTTCTCGGTGTGCACACGCTGCACATGCTCCTTCATCTTGTCGGATCGATGACTGCTAAAGCCGCACAGCTGGCATTTGTAGCGATTCAGCCCGTTCGCCGTGTGCTTGAGCGCGTGCCGCTTGAGATTCTTGCTCTGGCTAAACTTGCAGCCGCATATTTCGCAAATAAAGTCCCGCCCCTGCTTGTGCGTTTCTATGTGTAGCTTCAAGTTCTCCTTGCGGTTAGCCCGATGGTTACAGCCCGATACGGTGCAGGCGAAGAATTCGCCCGTGTGAAGCAGTTTGTGGGACTTGAGAGCCTTCATGTGGGTGGTGCTATAGCCGCACACATCGCAGAGCATTTGCTTCTCCGGATTGTGGACTAGAATGTGATTGCTGAGACCCTGCTTCCACTTGAAGCCCTTGCCACAGTGCGGACAGATGTGCGGCGTTTCCGTAGAGTGCTTGGGCTGGTGCACCAGCAGAGCAGCTCTGGTGGTAAAGTGAATGCCGCACTGTAGGCAAAAGAAGGGCTTGCGCAGATTTCCAGAGTGGCGGCGCAGATGACGGTCATACTCCCGCCAGTCCAGGAAGCCCACCTCGCACAGGGAACAGGTTAGATGCGAGGGTTCACAGCTGCTCATGTGCTCAATCATCTTCTGCACTTGGTAGCATTTGAAGTCGCAGCCAATACAATAGTTCACCTTGCTGCTGGATTTTACGGCACGGGGATTCTTCAGCTTCAAAGGCAGAGAAATTAAATAAATGAAAGAGCAACAACAAATCGCGTAGCATACCTTGAAGAAGCTCTGTTGATTCTCAAATAGATCTTCGGGTTTCTTTGTTGGCTCCAGGTTTACCTCAGCCTCTCCGGGTGTCAGAGCCTCGCATGTGTCTCTTGCCTCGTCCACGGGCTGCATCTGGTACAAGTTTAAGAGCTCTGTCACAGCCAATATTTTAGCCAGCTCCCGGAAATGTTCCTCATGCTCCTTCGAAACGGATACAATGTCCTCGTAGAAAAAGTCTGCAAAATGCAAATATTAATACTAAAAAATTATAAATCTTTGTAACAATAAGATATACATAATTGGCTAATATTTTGTAAGCATAACATTAGCATCCATAACTGCGCTGAGGCGACGCGACGATATAAGTGCCTTTATGTCGTGATATTCAGATGTTTTTCGCCACCACTCAATTTCAGCTTTGGGCGACGTTTGGCCATCCATTTCTTGAGCAATGCCCACAATAGGATTGGATTGAGATCCGGACTTACCTACAATTGTGTGCAGGCATTGGGTGCAGGCGAAATTGCGGATGGTTATCTTCAGGGGATTGTGTATGGAGAACTGCTGCTGCTTTTGGCCAATGAGCTGACTCTGGGCGGCCAGAACACAAAAGTGCACGCTCAGGCAACAATCCGCATCCGAACAGTCCGAGTCCAATTCTAGCAGCAAATCACAGAACTGGCCAGTGCGCCGCTGATTGTTGAGGTAATTGGATACTTTCGAGTGGAGCGGCTGGTGCAGAGTGGGCAGAGATTGAGTAGCTGGTGCCAGTAGCATTTTCTCATTCAATTAAGGTGTTTTTAGCAATAAAAATAAAATTTACAAGAACAGTTTTTTGTTTATATCGCAACAGCTGGCAGTGCAGTGTGACCAGGACGTGGGTTTGACAAAAATACCATGAGACGAGGAAAAATGCGACTAAAAACATACTGCAAAACACTGACGCTGTATTTGTGTGTGTCCGTTACATTAAACTGGTTTGGTTTTCTTATTGTTTCATATATGCAAATTAACAATTTAGAAATGTTCGAGTTTTTATAGCAGTGCATTTATAGTTAGCCTCTTAAATAACAAAAACAAACAGAAACTTCTTTCATAAAAAGAGCCCATTCAAATAAGCTCTTGGACCTCTCGCTGTTTGATGACTTTCAGTTGAAAAGCTAAACTGTGCCTTGTAAGACCTCTCCGCGGATCGGTGTTTATTTATGTGCGGTGTTTATTTAAAACGTTGCTATTGTCTTGGCTTCCACTCTTACAAGCAAATCTTACACTGCCAATTAAAACCAAACACGAATAAATAAGATGAAACATTCTTGGGAATTTTGAGCAGCCATTGTCGGGAGTTTTATCTGATTGCAGTCAATTGTTGTTCCATTTACGCAAACAATAAAAAGAAATCTCATTGCGATTTGAACTCAAATTATATGCAGATTATATATTGATCATCGGATTAGACTAATTGCATTTGTCCTTATCGTATAGATAATATCTAACGTTTAATTACTGGAAATCCCAACATAAACACACTCGTAGAGGAAGTCTACTTTACGCTTCTCACTAAGCTTTCGTGTTGGATTCCAATTGTTTGTTCAACGGACGGACGACTTTCTTGCACATGTACTTATAGGGGCAGCCAGCCAGAAAGAAGGAGAGAGAGAGAGAAAGAGAGAAGAGGGGCTTATGATGATGGGGCTAGCTTATTCCGATCATAACGCTTGAGGCTCGTGTGGCGAGCGGTTGATCTCCCATCGCGTCAGATTCCGATTCCGATTCCCACTGCCGTCGCCCGCTGATTAACGCTGGACGCAATCAGAACAAATCAGCATTAATTCAATCAATGATTAAGACTGACAGCGATCGTCTCAGCTGTGCACAGAAGATGTTCCTTGTGTTCATCCTGGCCCTGACACTGATAGGCCCTGCCGCCGCCTGGCCACAGGTGCAGACAATTGGAGCGGCTCGGCCCGATGAAGATGGGGACAGACTGAAGCTTTGGCTGACAATCAATGCGCGCAAGCGTTTTCTGGAGATCTCCTGGAAGAATGCCCCAGCCCGAATGGGAGACAATGTCCTGCTGACAGTCCAGGATCCGCACAGCTTCGAGCGGCGTACACTGCCAACGGGAACGCCTTTGGCTTCCTTTGCCAATGACGAAGGCAGTGGTTCCGGCGATGGTGCGGTCGACTATGTGCCCCTGCAGGGATACACAAGGAAGCCGCTTATTTCGCTGACCAAGAAGAAGTCGCCTTCGTCGCAGCAGTACTGGGTGGCCAACGAGGGTAGCGCCCAAGTAGTTGCCGCCATTCAGCCCAGCCTCTCCACCCAGTGGTTCACCACGGGCGTGCCCTTCGACTATGCGCTGTCGCGTAATGTGACCGCCCAGACCTCCTGCTATGGCTACTGGGCCAGCTACATCAATGCGGAGGGACGCATTCTGGCCAAGAACTGTGTGAGAGCCTATCCCCGCTGGATGAACGAGCTGCGTTCGGTGGTGGACGAGCTTCGACTGCGAGATCTCTTCATACCAGGCACCCATGATTCCGGCTCGTATCGCCCCAATTTCGATCCACTGCTACGCGAGGGTCTGGTGACCAAATATGCCCTCACCCAAGATGACGACATAATGGGACAGCTAATGCATGGCGTGCGATATCTGGATATACGTGTGGGCTACTATCGACCATCTGTGGAGAAGTTTTTCATCTACCATGGCATCACGAAGCAGCGCCCGCTGCAGGAAGTCATCAATCAGGTCAAGGATTTTGTCCATGAAACCAATGAGATTGTCATTTTTGGACTCAAGGAGTTTCCAGTGGGTAAATGTGGAATAACATCATTCCGCCTCCGTTTATCAGCTTAACGTCCTATTGTTTTTTCAGGCTTTGGCAAGAACTTGGGCGTCCATCGTCTGCTGGTCAGTTATCTGCGCGAACAGTTCCAGGATCTGATTGCACATCCCTCATTGGGATGGCGCGCCTCCCTGCGCGACATTTGGTCCAGGCAACAGAATGTGATACTAGCCTACGACAAGCATACCATTGTGGAGGAGTTTCCCCAACTGCTGTTCGGCGCCGTGGAACAGCGCTGGGGCAACGTACAGACCTGGCCGCGTCTCGAGACGTATTTGCGCAACATCAACGACTTTGATGTGTCGTAAGTGTAACATCCAATTGATAATTATACGAGTAGTTTATTTATGGGTTGTTACTCTCTTGAGCAGACGCTTCTCGAGTCGCCCGGTGGCTGATATGGCCGAGCTGACGCCGGAAACCTGGGATGTCATACTCGATAAGCACGGCGGACTCCGTAAAATGGCCGACACTATCAATTGGCGTGTATCGCAGCTGTATCGGGATGAGCTGGGCGAAAATTCCAACATTGTGGCGGCGGATTTCATACGCGGCACCACCATAGTAGAGACAGCCATCGATTGGAATCGTCGCAAGATTGCCTATTAAGTAATTAAGTAGACATTTAGCATTTAAAAACAGCAACATTTATCAGCAAGAAAAAACGTTTACAAATTTATGGCCAGCAAGTGGCTGTTGTTTGTTCCCTAAACATGTCACAATATCTATGTATGTAGTTTGTTCCCATATCAAAAGCAGCACTGCACTTCCTGATGTATATTCAAAAAAGGAATGTGGCATCAGGAAGAAATTATAAAATGCATTCTATTCTATTGGGCAAGGCCTTCGGGGGTTACACTCGTATATCGTATAGCAGGTATAGTAAAATAAATGTGTTAGCTGTTGAGTTTGCTCAAATAAATAAACGCACTACGGGGAAACTAAATGTATGTATCTATGTTTGTATAAAACTAAATGTATAAACGATACCGATTTCGTTGTGAGGAATGGAATGCCAATTTCTAAGCACAAATATCATACACATGGTGGCGGGGGGGGTTGGGTTCACTAATCACAAATAGAATGCAAGGCTAAAAGGCAAACACTTTGCTTAGCTACTCTGAATATCATTTACGAGTGTTCTTTTCTTTCATAAACTTAATGCATTAGGTGTTAGCCGATGCATGAGTTCTTCTTTCGTTTGTGGGTAAATTGGTCCTAGTTTATGGCCTCATTTGATTCTATAATGGTTGTGTTGAACATGCCGCGACATAGCTCTACAACAGCACTGGACAAGCGGCCATAGCACTTGGGCTTCTGTTTCCAGGCAATAAACACATAGTAAAACGGAATGCCGGCCAAAGTGATGGCAATGCCAATGAGCAGATTCCCGGGCTCCTTCAAATTGGGCAGCAGCACCAATGTCACACAGCAGACCATAAAGGTGAGGGGCAAGGCCAGATGTACTTTAATAGGTCGTGGCAAATCCGGCCTGAAACATACAAACAAATTGAGCAATTGAAGGGATGAATGTTAGGTATGTAAGGAACACAAACTTCTTGTGCCGCAACCACAACATGCCCGCTATGCTGGCGACTACAGACAGCCAGAGCACCGAGCTGAAGTAGTTGATCAACTGATAGACATTATCCGTCAGCAGCATAAGCAGCGACATCAGGCACTAAACAGAGAGTAAAACAATGTTTTAGTTCATTTTAATAAAATGAAAAAACATTAAAAATAACTTACTGTGAAAATTAACGATGGTATTGGTGTCTGTTGCTTTACATGGAACAGCTGGAAAAACTTTGGTAAGTGTCCCTCCTGGGCGCCAGTTGCAAATAGTCGTGCCGATGTGAAGAGCACGCCATTGACACCGCCAAAGGTGCTGAGGGCCACAAAAATGGGCACCATAAAAGCCATTGGTCCAAAGACCTTGTTGCCAAAAGTCACCGCCACGGCCAAGGAGCTGAGCATTTCCGGTTTGTTAACCACAACGAAATAGGCCAAATTCACGAGCACATAGATGGCCGTGACCAGGGGCATGGCTATCCAAATGGCCCGTGGAAGATTTCTGTAAAAATACACACACAGAGAAACGTTAGGAACGTGCTTTTACAGAAGGGAAAAGCAAGCAACCCCAGCACTTAAATTGATTGGGAGTGTTTCAAGCGTAAATTGAATTCATTAGGGAGCAAAACCAGCAGCATCCTACCCAACACCCTCCTCATTCATGACATCAAGGACACTCAACAAGTTTCAACTTGTTGAGGGCTCGCGCATGACGCAAAAGGCAGTCCCACTCCCACCCCAATGCCGCATCCATTTGTCTTGCTGACAGGCGGCTCCCTACCCTACTCACTTGTATGGATCCTGCAGCTCCTCTGTTACAAAGTTCAAGTAATTCCAACCGCCAAAGGCAAATAAACCAGAGTAGAAGGCATAGCCAATATTCCGAGCACTGTAAGTGCCCTCCCAAGGATTACTAAAGTTCTCCAGTTTTCCCATGGCCATGTAGTAGAGGCCAGCAAGTATTATCATGATGAGAGCCAGCAGCTTGCCCACTGTAAAGACATCCTGGACTTTCATTGAGACCTTGACAGACAAACAGTTAATGGCAGTGAGCAAAGCTGTAAAGGAAGAGAACTTCTTTAATGTAATTTTTGATGTCATTAATTCTTTACTCACTCAGACACACAGCTGCCAATAGCTTGACCGAATTTTGTGGCGGATCACAATCCTCAAAGAAAGGTTTAGCGGCATAATGGGCAAAGGTAAGAGCTACAATGGTCTGTCAAGAAAAATCCGATTAATATAAGAATATATAATCCAAAACTAAATCTTTAAGCCAGCTTCCCACTTTCGTTTCGTTGGAGAAAGTTGTTCCAGTAATTGAATTCAATTCTGGTCGAAGGTTGCCGCCACTTAACAAATTTATATATTTGTTGTGCATCAACAAACAATTCAAATGGCAATCCATCAATCAAGAGAAATAATGAACATTTCATAATTCAATTGATTGGCCCCCTCCCCTGAGGCATTCACTGACCTGCGTCGTTGGCCGGATGATCAGCAAAGCTATCCACAGACGTAGGAATCCAACCAAAGGACCAAAGGATACCAGCAAATAGGCATAATCTCCACCAGATCTCGTAATGCTTGTGCCCAGCTCTGCATAACAGAGGGCTCCAATGGTCGATAAAATTCCACAGGCTGACCAAATCAAAAGGGAAGTTCCAACGGATCTTGATAATGAAAGAAATAAATTAATAATTTTTGAAGACCCACAAAGGGAAAAATAAATGTTCTAAAGCTAAAATAAGATGATATCGATCTATCATGGAGTTTTGTTTCTCATTTAAGAAAAGATTTTGAATAACTTAATTCCTTTCAAACCTTGGAACTGCTTGCAAGCTTTAGATCTTGACCATGTCCAAGGAGCGAGACAATGCTGGTCGACTCAACCAAGAGGACTTGAATAATGTTGATTCGATTGGTAGCTTCTTCCCAGCGGTGCCCAACCTGGATGAATTGCGTTGCAGTGAGGAGAACTTTCGCCAGGATCAGTACAAAGCCGAGTTGTGTGATGTGTTAAATACCTATGGGACGGGTATGGCCATGACAATGCAAATGGATCGCATGATCGCTAGCCGTGTGGGTCATCCATCCCACATGTCACCCAGCTACTTAATGGACGATATACTGACTGGCCGCATTCACACTATAGGTTTCGAGGACTACTTGAATCTGCCCCATCACAACGAACAGATGCGTAACTTACATTTTGAAATGGAGAAGAATGACCACAAATAAATCTACACCAAACATCTTTAAAAACAATATTTCCCAAGACACTGTACAGAGTTTATTCAGTCCATGATTTCCCACGCACACCACACTATTACATAAATTTTAAACAGAGTTTATGTTCATTCAGCAAATTAAATTGAAATGAAAGCCAGCTAACAAAAAATATGAGTACAAGAAAACTTCTGCTTGCATAATTGCTTTTTTGCCACACTATGCTTTTAGAGTGGATTCGCATAAACCAGACAAAGGCATTCGATTTTTTTACAGGACGACAACTGTTTAAATATTGCGATTATAATAGCTGGGCTGGATAACACATGCCTATCTTGAATACAGCCTAGTAAAAACATTAGAAAATATCTAATTCGACAGCTTTAAAAGTGGAAAAAAGCTGATAAAATGCCATATAACTATTATCTAGTCAGTAAGTAGAAATACACAGATAATATTATTACACTTTTTTCTATTTACAACGAACTTCTTTATGGTTTTGTCAAGCACCTTGTTTATGCATAATATAAATAATTTCAGGCATGGAATCGTCTTGTTGTTCGACTTCTTGTAATTGGAGAGAAATCGACTTAAAAGCTGACGCAATATTTTCTCAAAATTTCTTCTCAAACGAAGGCAGGGCGGGCTTTAACAAACTCAAACTCAAGGGAAAATCGGGTACTAATAAATTCCATTTAATTGGCGCCAAAAGAATAATTGTGACAATTTATCCATTAATTGACCTTTTTGTGAATTAATTGAATTAAGGATGATACTATGTATATGCATAAAGAGATTCTACAACATATTTAAATATGCATAGTAGGTGATTTCCCCACCAGCTTACTCACTCTGTATAGAGAAAGACTCCAGTGGGTGCGATGAATATGCCAGATCCTATAATGGTGCCAACAATAATTGCCACTCCATTGAGCAGAGTTAGCTTGCGTTTCAAAACGATTTTTCCATCCAATTCGGGGGTCTCCTTGTCTGCTCCATCGAAGGAGTCCGCCAGGCTGGTGGTCACTCCATTTGCATATCGTTCAGTCATTATGTGTATGGATATAGTTTGCCTCTAATGCGCGATGTTTGGCATTGCCCCTGGAAATGGAAAAGCGGAAGTGTACGCTTTAAAGATGCAAATCTATTTAGGGGGCATCTATTTATATCAAGGGAACCAAGCACGTGCTGTGCGAAAGCGAAACCTAGCCAATTGTAAACAATCTATTGCACAGAGATATTACAACCTGTTGGTCATTGCTCCCCCCGTCAATCACAGCCACATAGAACCTCAGCTGGTCTCTGCTGTGTTGGCACCACGAACTAATCTCTCAATTGGTCTAAGTACAGCGAAGTCCCACATCACATCCATTATCTCTTAACAGACAAAACTATGTATCTATGACTTAAAGTTGAAAGTGTCGCAAGGCGAGTGTCGGCAATCTATGGTGCGTGGAGTGGAGTTCTTTTCCAGGTGGCGGCGCCACCTCGCACCTCGTGCTAATTTTCACGATTTCGTCATTCCACTTCCACTGCAATACAAACAAAACGTTCCACCGTAAACACAGTCGCGTGGCAGTGAAAACTTTGTGCACTTTTTTTCTTCTATTTTTGTGTGTCAACGTTTGGAATGCAGTTTAGTTGATTATTTGGTTTTATCTCTCGCGGGGTTTGGTGCCTGCTCTACCATAAAATGCAATTTTATACCTCAAGAAAAGCAAACACTATGCGCGACTGAGGCGGACACAACAAATCGGCTCCAAATACGGGTTGAGACTGTGCGTTGGCATCGAGACCGGCATTTTCGTATTAATGTTGACGCATTTCCACCCCAGCGTAAATTTTAGTATATAGCGAGCCCAGAGAATGAATGTGCGCGTCATTTGAGAGAACGACCGTGGGTAGCAAAAATTTGCGGGCCAAAAGCAGAGAGGAGAGTGCTGAAAACCGGAATATGCTAAATGTTTACACTTTCTTCAATCAGCTGGTATCAGTCAGATATTTATAGTAAAACGAAATACATTCAGAAAGGCAATCTATTCACCAAAATCATTAGTTATTGGTAACAAATATTAGTTATTAACTAAAAACAACGTTGTTTGCGAAATGAAAATTGAATTCCCGCTTAAGTGACATTCTCTCTGCTACGTAGACTCAGCTGATTCGAGTTGATGCGATTAGTAGCCTGTTTCCACTACAGCGCGTTTGCTATCGATATCGGAACAGACGATATGCTATGATGCCGAAAAGTCGCTTACACTGGCAGACGAAGGATCGCATATTTGATGTACTGACCGGGATATGCCAATAAGCTTCTTGCGGATCAGCGCTGAAAGTTTTTGGGAATTAACTAGATTCATAACTACGTATTCATTATCGTTTTTCAATTTATTTAACCATATATTTCATTCGTTAGCCATAAAGAAGGTACCCCTTATCAATTATCTACGATCTGTGACTATCCAGAACAGGAGCAGTGGCCATGTACCAAGCCCACATAGCAGTAGTTGGGCTATAATCCTAAATGGTCGATGATTAAATTGAACCATTAGCGATCATAGATCAGTTTTGTGCTCACCACAAAGACTTCTTTGACATTGTTTTACCTCTTAAGAGGTGGGAAGATCGCACAAAACCAATTACAATATATTTTGGAATTAACAATATTTTTGTCTTTATTTAGTTTTATTAATTAATGCTGTTCAAAAATTTTCTCATCTCATCTTAGAGTGAAAAATTTCGTACACTACTTGCGACGATATAAAGTACGGATGGCTGCGAAGGTAGGTTCTTGCAGGTTCAGGATCAGATGAAGACGACAGAAATAAGTAGGAGCGATTGTGACGATATTAGCTGAAGATCAGTATCAGACTAATTAATTGAAGGCGGACCGAATTGCCCGTGAATGCAAGTGAGGGAAGGAAGCGATAGAAGAAGAGCGATAGAAGGAGAGCGTTAGAACAGCTCGGGCTGCTGATAAGCCGAGTACGAGCGTTAGATGAAGAGTAGGAGCGCGAGAGAACAGCTAGATGCTAGAAACAAAGAAGGCTGGATAGAAAGACGAAAGTAAGTATGTTGTTTATCTACAGTGGGCAGTGAAAGTACCGAACATAAGGTAAAGTTACATGATTCTGCACTACTGGCTATTATTCGGGAAATTTCAGGCTGGGAAACCCGAAACCGAGCGTAGGAAAACTAATAAATAAAAATCAAATGTTCATAAAATGGTTAAAGTTCTGCAGTATGTGCATTCGTATCTTCCATCGTTCTTACGGATGTCATCTCGAAGACTTGTTATTGCTCGTGTGAGTCAGTAGGTGTCTTTTGTACGTTTTTTTTTTGTATTTAAATGTCTTTGAGCATTGGGGGCACTTATAAGGATTACCTCCTGTGTGGGAACACATGTGTACCCTGAGACTCGATTCTGTTATAAATGACATTGAGCAGAGATTGCATGGATAGGCTCGTTTAGCGGTGTGATAACGATTATGTCTTCTATATTTAGATTTATCGCTGAAAGATTTTATGCAGTAAGAACACTTATACGTTCTTTCCTGGAGATGGGCTTTATATGGTCGCTCCTCCGTGTGACTTCGGATGTGTTTTTTGAGGTAGTACCGGGTTTTAAATGACATCGGGCAGTGGGAACATTTGAAGGGCTGACCTGTGTGCGTACGGTTGTGTTGTTGAAGAGCTTTTTTTTGTTTAAATGACTTCGAACAGTGGCAGCATTGGAAGGAGCGATCACTTGTGTGCGTACGGATGTGTCCTTGAAGATGGTATTTTAATTTAAATGACTTTAAGCAGTCGGAGCATTTGAAGGGTCGATCTTCAGTGTGTAATTGCTTGTGTCTAGTTAGATTCGATTTATGCGCATAGCTCTTTGGACAAAGACTACATTTGAACCGACGATTGACATCCTTATCACTTGGACCCTTTGCATCGGGTTTAAATTGGTTTGACCGCTCACTTTCACTATCCGACGGTTTCCAATCCACATTATCACAGATTTCTTCTTCTTTATCCTCCTCCATTCGTGCGAAATAGAGTTTATGGCTCTGCTCGCAGATTTTCTTGAGATTGAATGCACTCACTGCATCCTCCAGGCAGGGCGGACATATGTTTTCTGGTAGTGAATCCCCTCGCCTAACCACATATCCTGTGTAGTCCGATATCATGTCAGCAATGCAAGTGTCCCATTCTTGTGTCTCATCAAAAATGTTTGTGAGTGCTCCGGACGTTTCCATGCAAACTCTGCATATTTGATCCATTGTCCTGCAAGTAAATGAATCTTACTCATGTGAAATGATGGGATTCAAACCAGCCAAACCCAGAAACTACAGGGTTCCAAATTATAAATTATTGCTTGGAGTTGTTTGTTTTTGTTTTGAGAAAATGTATGCACGCAATGTGCTGTTAAGCGCAAAACACATGAAACTAAAGTTAGAGTTGTTGTATGTTACAATATGGGTGTTCGTTTAATTTATTTTCACTTTGATTCAGAAATTTCTTCATTGCTCAACAAAATTATGATCAAAATCGGTTAAGAATAATACATTATTCAAGTAAAACACCCTTAAAAATTAGTTTGTTAATTCGTCGCATAAAACTTTTATTTTATATTTCTATATAAATATCTGATTATCTAATTTTAAAGGCTTTTCCTAGCTCTGTATGGAAATTTAGAAATCTTAAACCTGAAAATGAATTTCATATGTACATTAAATCTGATTAAAATAGTAATTATATTTGTGCAAGCCTTTACCAAACCTGGTATGAAATTTATTTTCGGGTTAAATATTTCAAAACTTCAATTCAGATTGTTTAATAAATCAAAAGTTAAAAATAACATAATAATTTTAAGTCTTAAGTATTACATAATTTATAACAATTTTTTTTACTAATTAATTAATTAATTTTCATAAATGGTCATTGATTAAAATAAGAATTGGCACAAAGATAAGTTTAGTGCTCGCCACAAAGAATTTTTGTTTAATTTGCACATATTGTTTCCCTCTTGAGAGGTAAGAAAATATAACAAAATCAAATCTTTTATAATAATTTGTTTGTGGAATTAAATAAACGTTCATCAAACGTATGGTCCATGGTTCTTACTGAGGTGATCTTGTATGAGTAACTATATGTCTTTGGTAGCTACTGTTTTTGTGTCTTTGAGCAGTGGGTGCACTGGTAAGGACCCTCTCCAGTGTGAGAACGCATACATATGTATCTGGAGATTAGATTGTTCTTTAAATGACTTTGAGCAGTGACTTGCATGGATTCGGTCGTTCCCTTGTGTGCTTAAGGGTTTGTGCTTAAAAAAGGGAATTTAAATTAAATGACTTCGTGCAGTAAGAAAATTGGAAAGGTCGTTCTCACCCGCGTGCGTACGAGCATGCATTTTAAGACAGTACAATATTCTGAATGACCTTGGGCAATCGGTGCATTTAAAGGATCGTTCACCAGTGTGCGTGCGGATGTGAAGCTTTAGAGTTCCTGGATGGCTAAATGATTTTGAGCAGTGAGAGCATTGGTAGGGTCGTTCACCCGTGTGCGTACGGATGTGGCTTTCAAGATTGCGTTCGTATGGGAAGGTTTTAGAGCAGTAAGGGCATGTGAAGATTTCAGAGTTTAGAGTTTCCTCTTGTTTAAATTCCTTTGTGTGGAATTCCGTTTGGTGGACTCTAAGATGGAAAATTCTGGCAAAGGCCTCGGAGCAGTCAGTACACTTGTACGGCCTTTCCCCAGTGTGAGAACGGAGATGTATATTGAGTTTGTATATTTGCTTATATGACTTCGAGCACTGAGTACATTTGTACGGCCTTTCCTCAGTGTGAGAACGGAGATGTATATTAAGATTGTATTTTTGTTCATATGACTTCGAGCACTGAGTACACTTGTACCGTCTTTCCCCAGTGTGAGAACGGAGGTGTATATTGAGTTTGTCTTTTTGTCTATATGACTTCGAGCACTGAGTACACTTGTACGGTCTTTCGCCAGTGTGAGAACGGAGATGTATATTGAGTTTGTCTTTTCGTGTATATGACTTCGAGCATTGAGTACACTTATGCTGTCGCTCCTTCGAGTGAGTCCGGATGTGTCTGGTGAGTTGGTATTTTTGCTTAAAGGATTTTTGACAGTCGGGACATTTGTAGGGTCGTTCTCGAAAATCCGCTATGTCGGTATCATTTCTATGTATCGTTGCATCGGATTTAAAATGGTTTGATTGCTCATTTCCACTATCCGTCGGTTCCCATTCATCGTCTTCCACATTATCAAAGATGTCTTCTTCTCTATCCTCCACCATGAATTTGAAATGGAATTGATGGCTCTGCTCGCAGGATTTCTTCAGATTGAATGCACTCACTGCATCCTCCAGGCAGGGCGGACATATGTTTTCTGGTAGTGAATCCCCTCGCCTAACCACATATCCTGTGCACTCCGATATCATGTCAGCAATGCTGGTGTCCCATTCTTGTGTCTCATCAAAAATGTTTGTGAATGCTCCAGACGTGTCCATGCAAACTCTGCATATTTGGTCCATTGTCCTGCAAGTAAATGAATCCTAATGAATCTTACTCATGTGAAATGGGGGTATTCAAACCAGCCAAATATTGTAGTTTCTGAGTTCATTGCTTGGCGTGGTTTTTTTGTTTTGAGAAAATGCATGCACGCAATGTGCTGTTAAGCGCAAAACACATGCAATCAAATGAAAACATTGTGTTATCGGATGTAACAATATGGGTATATCTGTAATTAGCTTTGAACTAATTTAATTGTTATTAAATTTTACTTTCGAAGTCTTTGAATAAAACAAGTTGGTAAATAAAAAAATCATTTTATTTCATCACCTAAAAAATAAAAATATACAATTTTAAAATTGTTCACCAACTTTAAATAACATAGCAAAAAAATGTGAAAATATAAAATTTTTTAAAGTTCTGCATAAATCATAAGCTCACAGATTTACGGGTAAAAAAATAAAGTAGAGTCGCGCTCAAAGAAGCGACTCACACGTTCCTTCTCGTTCTTTCAGGTTTTAATAAGAAGGCTAGACTACACAAAAGTAGATAAAACATTTAAAAGTCCCAGTATTAGCCATGCTTCGTCGCTTGCATAAATTTATTTTCATGAAATAAACTGTAGCTGAAGGAAGAATCTATAAAGTTTTAGTCGAGTGCCAAATTTGTACATTTTTAGATCAATAAATATTGTTTTGTTGCGAATTTAATTATGTCTAAATATTTTTCATTAAATTTAAATATAAAGAATGTTAATGTAGCAGAAAAAGGCAGTAGAACGATAATGGGGGAATATCAATCCATCTGCCCTTGAACCGCTATACATTTCCATGCCTCACGTCTTAATTCGATGATAATAAACAACGAAAATTGACTAATAAAGTTATATGAATAAATATTTACTATGAGGCCAAAATTCAAGTTGAGTTTATTCTTAAATTTAATCGAAATCGTATCAGTTAGAAATCAAATTGTTCTTTAAATGCCGTTGAAATCAGGCATCGCAGTAGAAACGTTAGATGATGGTTTCAGGCGATTTTTGCCAGTATGAGCACGTAATATGTGGTCCTTGAGATGGCCTAATTGTACATATGTCTTGCTGCATAAAGCGCACTGGTAGGGTCGTGCACCCGTGTGTATACGGCTGTGATGTCGGAGAGTTCCGGACCGAGTAAAAGACTTCTCGCAGTGAGAACACTTAAACCTTCGCTCTCCAGTGTGAGTACGTATATGTTCCCTGAGATTGCATTTTAGTATAAATGTCTTGGGGCAGTCAGAACACTTATATGGTCGCTCCTTTGTATGAGTGGGGATGTGCATATCGAGGGACTCTTGCTCATTAAATGACTTCGAGCAGTGAGGACATCTATATGGTCCATCAGCTCTGTGCGTAAGGGCGTGTGAGTGAAGATTGGAGGAAAGGTGATAGGACTTAGGGCACAGCGCACACTTATACGGTCGCTCTCCAGTGTGAGTGTGGATATGTTCCTTGACATAGTTTTTAGTTGCAAAGGATTTTTCGCAGTAAGAGCATTTGTAGGGTCGTTCACGCGAGTGCGTACGGGAGTGACTTTTAAGACAGGTTGTTGTTGTGAATGACTTTGGGCAATCAGGGCACTGGAACGGTCGCTCACCCGTGTGCTTGCGGGTGTGAATTTTAAGACTGTATATTGTTATAAATGACTTTGGGCAATCGGTGCATTTGAAGGGTCGCTCACCAGTGTGCGTGCAGGTGTGAATCTTTAGAGCTCCTGGCATGCTAAATGATTTTGAGCAGTGAGAACATTGGTGACGTTGTACATCCATGTGCAATTTTACGTGTCTATTTAGATACGATTTTTGAGCATAGCTCTTTGGACAAAGACTACATTTGAACAGACGATCGACATCCTTATCACTTGGACCCTTTGCATCGGGTTTAAATTGGTTTGACCGCTCACTTTCACTATCCGACGGTACCCAATCATCGTCTTCCACATTATCACAGATTTCTTCTTCTTTATCCTCCTCCATTCGTGCGAAATAGAGTTTGTGGCTCTGCTCGCAGGATTTCTTCAGATTGAATGCACTCACTGCATCCTCCAGGCAGGGCGGACATATGTTTTCTGGTAGTGAATCCCCTCGCCTAACCATGTATCCTGTGCACTCCGATATCATATCAGCAATGCAGGTGTCCCATTCTTGTGTCTCATCAAAAATGTTTGTGAATGCTCCAGTCGTTCCCATGCAAACTCTGCATATTTCCTCCATTGTCCTGCAAGTAACAACATTAAACAAACTTGTTTTATGTTTTTAATAAGCCAACCTGTGCTCCTTTTATGAATATAAAAATATATATTTGTTTGGCCCGAATTATTTTGTTTTGACAACACAACATAAGAGATTGGGCTGTTATACGCGAAATTGTGGTTAGGCGCTGTTAAGTTATATTTTTAATCGGTATATTTACAGTATTTCTTTAACATGACAAGGAATATTTCGGTATATTTCTGAGGGTCAGGTCACACTGCCTTTTAGTTATTGTTTTGATTGCCGCTGCACGTGTTTTTAAGGAGCTGCGTATTAAAATACAAAATAGAGAGATGTCGGACAAGTAAGAGCGATGAAAACTATGTTGTTTAGCTTATTTAACACAACTTCATATAATTACACAACATAGATACGCCGTGCCAAACAAATTACCCGGAAAAACCGTCTCCGTGTTGAAGCACCGTAAGCGACGTATTCTGCAAGATCAATCGGTCGTTGAGCAGAAGAAAAATGATCGCATTAAGCGCAGACAGAAGACCAAGACGCACCACAAATTCCGACGTGCCGAATCCTTTGTCATGGGCTATCTGAAGGCCGAGAGAACATCAAACCGGATCCGGCAAACCATTCTCAAGACGAACATAACAGAACAGAGTTCTGCGGCGGCCGATGACTCCAATCCCAAATTGCTGTTTGTGATGCGCCATGCGGGAAAGAAAATCTTCGACAAGACCACCACCGATATATTCAAAACGCTGCGCATGGGCCAACGTCACAATGCCGTATTCCTGGAGAACACCAAGGAGAATCAACTGTTGCTGCGCGTGATCGAACCCTTTGTGGTGTACGGCAATCCATCGTTGAGCACCATACGCGAGCTCCTGTTCAAAAAGGGCTTTGCACGCGTCGAAGGCAAGAAGACGGCAATACAGTCAAACACCATGGTGGAGGAGCATCTGGGCGAGAAGGGTGTCATATGCCTGGAGGATATCATCCATGAAATCTGCACAGTTGGACCCAATTTTGCTGCTGTTACACAATTCCTGTGTGCCTTTAATGTAGGTTTCGATATACGAATAATTTATAATATTTTCTGTAATCCAACGATTCGATTCCCTTTGCAGATGTCAAGTCCCCGCAATGGCTGGCAGAAAAAGGTCTCGGTGTCGTACAAACGCGGCGGGGAGTATGGCTATCGTGGTAATGCCATTAACGATCTGGTTGCCCGCTGCCTATAGAAGCCTCAATCTAGTAGACTTTTAAGTGATTGTTCAATCTATAATACCATATTCTATGCCTAAGTCCAATAATACACTGTTTTCACAATCAATTGAGCAAAATGTCGGTGATATTCAATGCCAGTCAAGATAGCAACACGGAGATCGAGTACCAGACAATCTCCTCGACTGAGACCTATCTGGCGGAGGATCAATCGGAGCGTCTGCACAATAAAATATCCAAGGATCAGCTCGAGAAGCTGAATCAGGCCTTCAGCGAGCGTCCCGATTCACAGGTCGGCATCGATGACCTGCGTAGCCTTCTGCTGGAGCATGACATCAGCTTCAACGATGCGGTGTATACCCGCCTCTTTCTGAAGATCAATCAGAATAGGGACTTCAAGGTCGATTGGAACGAGTTCGTCTCGTATCTGATCTTTGGCTTTCAGGAGGAGGATCCCAGCAGCCAAAAGGAGTCGCTGATCCTGCCCATTTCGGTGGCGCCTTCGGTGCGGAAGACGGAACACCGATCGACTGTGTGCTGTGTGGCCCTGCTCAAGGCCAAGTCCGATCAGGTGCCCATCGAGGAGGTCACCGAGACGGTAAACTTCTCCTTTGGCGGTGAGGATTCCCCCGAGGCCTCGGGCATGTGGGTGACGGCCAGTCACGAGGGTATGCTGCGCTTTTGGACCTCCCACATGGAGCCCATTCGAACAGCAACCTCGGAGAGCAGTAAGTAAACTAGTCAGCCTTGGTTCTTGATCCAGGGCTAACCCTTCTCTTGCCGTCAGTCCACCTGAAGATGCCCACCTGGATACTGGCCGTACAGGCTCTCTCGGATGTCAGCATCGTCTGCACTTCCTCCACAGAGCGGGAGCTGCGCTTCCACGAGACCATCGCCTCGACCTTTACCCTGCGAATGGTGATCCGTAGCATGCCCCACGCTGTCTACTGCATGAGCTATGCCTTCTACAACAACGGCAAGGTGCACTCGAAGCTGGTGTTGGGTGACTATGCGGGCAACGTGAGGATTCTCTCGTACTCGCCGCACCTGCGCGGTCCGTTCCAGGCCAAGCCGGGCGCTGCCCTGATCGAGGTGGTCTGGACGGACGTGCTGAAGGGCAAGATACCCCAGATGATACCCAAGGAGTACATCAATCTGCACAACGAGATGGTCACCTGTGTCCACTATTCGCTCCACATGAACGCCCTGTTCGCCTCAGCGGAGTACAGGAACACAAAGAAGTATCGTGGCCGCTGTCCGGGCATGATTATGGTCACATACGATGAGCGGAGCAATTTTCGGGTACCTTTGGGTGTTTCCACCTTCTTTGTGGCGGAGAGCCACAATATTGTCGTCACGGGAGGACCCGATACGTTCGTCAGAATCTGGGATGTCTATATACCCACAGAGCCGTCGGCAATCCTCACCGGCCACAATGGGGGCATTGTCACGGTCTTTGTGCAGCCGGAGGAGAACAAGGTGTACAGCGTGGACTACCAGAAGATCATCAAGGTGTGGGATCTGCAAGAGCACACACTGCTCCAGACCTATGGCGAGTTGGTGCGTCTTATCCATCCCAGCGAGACGGATCTGACCTACTTCTATCACTCGCATCTGCGCGAGCTCATTGTGGCCGGTCGCAAGTTGATCTCCATCAAGTGCTGTCCACGCGTGCGGGTGGACCTCACCGATGGCAACACCCATGCGGCACCCGTGTCTGTGGTCCTGTACAATCGTCTGTTCCGGAATATCGTCACGTGTGGCCTTGACAGCTACATCATTGTGTGGGATCCGTGGAGTGGGCGACGCAAAATCATCATGAAGAACTGTCACACGAAAATGATCTACGGCGAGATCATTGACATTGAGATTACGGCCGCCACCTTCGATCCACTCGAGCAGTTCCTACTCACGGGCGCCCGCGATGGTTCCCTGAAGATCTGGAACTACAATAATGCGGTGGTGGTGCGTAACATGAGCATAATGCCGGACCAGGAGGTGACATCAGTCATTTGGGTGGTGGATCGGTAGGTCTTTCACTCCTTTATCCATCTTAATCCTCAAATGCCTCGCTTTCGGCAGTATTCTGGCCATGGGTTGGGATCGTCAGGTAACCGAATTCAATGATGTGGAGGGCCGCGAGTACGGGGACCCCAAGAAGTGGTCCAAGTTCCACACGGACGACATCACCTGTGCCGATGTCAAACTGGGCGAGGGCGTTGTCACCGCCACCTACTCGGGCGAGGTTATATTCTGGAAGCTGGAGACTGGCCAGCCCTATCGCAGGTACAGCGTCATGGATCCCACACGCTTCATTGAGCTCAAACTGACGCCCGAGGAGGAGAAGTTAATGCGGCGCAGCAAGCGAATGATGTCACGGTTGGGCCACGGCTCCAGTCGCATCAGTCGTGGGACCACAACCACCACCTCTGCTCTGCCCAAGGCAGAAGACGGGCGTGACTATGGCCAGAACGTACCGATCTCCGTTCAGGCCGTTCTATTCCTGCAGACACGACCCCAGACCTTGCATCATGGTAGACTGCACACAACAGATTCCAATCGACTTATAGCTTGAGCTTTCTATTCATTCTTCTTTCAGGTAGTGTCTTTATCTCTTTGGACACTGGCTACATTCAGATGTATTCCCATCATCAGCGCGGCGGCTACATGAATCAGTTCATGTCCGTCCACAAGACCGGAGACTGTGTCCTCACCATGTGCACAGATCGCAAGAACCGTTTCCTCTACACGGGCACAGCCTTTGGCTATATCAAGATCTGGTATATAGTCAATTATTGGTGAGTGTTTCATTTATTTTGAGCGTGTTCCAACTGCTTCCATCGCTCACACATCGCAGCACATTCGAGTCGCACAAGCGAATGCTGCAAAAGAGAATGCCTTAGAATAGTTTTAAAAACAACATTCAATTTCTGTGTATGACGCGGTTAAGCGATGTTCATGTTGGAATGCTCCCAAAGTTCCCTCTCTGATTTAGAATTAAGAGTACATATTTCATTGTTCTTTGCCACTCGCGTCTGCCTATTAGAGCACCTACTGTATCTTCCATAAAAGCAATACTCAGGCCATTAAGAAACCACATGAAACTGTCTCTAACGACATTCCTCATTATCTTGCATGTTTCTCAAAACGAATTCCACCCACAACAAACCAACTTCCTCTTTGGATGGCTTGACTTGGGCTTGTCCTTGCGTGTTCCAACAAAGGTTCTACCCAATTTGTTGGGAAAGCAAAGTTTTTGTCGGTAAAAATAATAAATAACTCATAACTGGTCGGAGGAGCAGGCACTAGCGACTGCCTAGAGCCTCACTTGTTGCCATGATTAGTCGAAGACCGAACCACTAACCTAGTACAACCCGTGACGTGACGTCTCTCGTTCCATACTTCTAGCGTGCCCGAAGCGGAGAAGGTGCACGTGTGCATGCCCAGAATGCGGCTGGAGTTTATATTCCTGCGAAAGGAGTTCTGGGTCACACGGGCCAAGCGAGTGGTGCGCCATCAGCGTGAACCGCTGCTGGTCAGCTCCTACAAGGCGCATCTGAAGGCCATCAATTCCATATCCTTTATCAATCTGCCCAAGATTGTGTTTTCGTAAGTGACTGTGAACTTAAATCGATGCATTAGTTAATCTCATTCTCATTTCAGTGGCAGCCACGATTACTCGTGTCGCCTGTGGACACAGGGCGGCCGCTACTTGGGCACCCTGGGCACTGTTCTGCCCTGGTCCAAGCTTACACCCTTCGAGCGTGCTGGGGACGAGAATCAAGTCTATCGCCTGCCACCGGACATCAAAAAGGTGGCCAGCTCTACAACACTTAAGGTGATCTCCGGCCTGCAGATGGATCGCCCAGTCAAGCGTTCCGAGGCCAAGGCGCCCGAGGATCGCGACGAAGAGACCGCCCAGACGGAGGATGGTTACGATCTAAAGAAAATCTTCGATAAGCCTTTGAAGGAACCCATTCTGGGCAAGCACTTCACCCTCCCCGGTAAAAGTGTCATGGATCAGCGCATCGATGTGGACACCACACAGAGCTACATTGCTGTCTACACGCATCTAAAGGTCCATCACACCGAGATGCTCGAACGTCTGCCCACGCCGGCTGTGATTAGTCGCGTGGCGGCGGAGAACTACTTGGAGCATTATGTGCCCGTCGAGGGCAAGGTGGACATGAGTGGATCGGCTCTGAATATCAAGCAGCCGCCGCGTCGCCCCGCATCGTTGCGGCCCAACGATCCACGGAATATGCGTATGGCGAAGACACGCGGCGACTTGGGTTCCGGTAAAAGTCCCAGCCAGCAATCTCAATAGTCGTCTCTCTCGTGTCTCTGGTCATATCATATATATATTTTTGGGGGTATTGCTGCTGAATGTTTTGGTGGTTAAATTAAAGTGTTTGTTTCCGTTTCCCCTGGGCATTTAATTCTGCAGGATTCGTACGGCATTGTACATCTGGGCGATGATGGGCAGTTGCTTGGACTCTCGTCGACACAGGCACTTGTAGGTGTGGGCCAGCAGCTTGTCCAGTGCCGCAACATCGATGTCGTCCGGCTTGGTGGCAGCAATCGGTATGCTATGCTCGGTCAGGGGTTCCTTCTGCGTGGCGGGGAGAACGGGCACGGATCAGTTCTGTGGGTGGTAAACGCTGGCAGCACTTACCAGGTTATCCAAGTAGCCCAACAGTTGATGGCCCACAGAAGCTATCTTGAGGAAGGTGGACTGAGAGCTCTCGGCATACAGATTGAGCCGTCTGCCGGCTATTTCAAGCAGCAGTCGTCCCAGTTCCTCGTCCTCGCTGATATCCTGCAACAGGTTCTGTGCTTCGGCATCATAGCCAAAGGCATAAAGTTCCACTATCTGTTGAAGAACGTGTCGGAAATGGCTAAAGGCAAAGATGATTCACGTCTCACCTGTCGCCTCAATATCGGCAACTTGTCCAACTCCCAGCTGTCGGCCAGCGCACAAATCTTTGCCATGTAGTAGACATGATCTAGTATATAAAGCTGCTGGAGATCCTCCCTGATCAGGTCCATTGTGACGGCCACGACGCGGCAGAGGAAATCTGTGCGCTGCTGCTGCAGCACCAAATCAGGGCCAGGGAGAACGTAGGGCAGCTCCTTGTTGATGTCCGCCAGCAAGGCCTTGTTGCCCATGGCATCGAAGAGCAGCGTCAGCGGCTTGGACACGCGCAGCTGGAAGAAGGCAATGAAATGCAGGACACTGCAGAGTTCGGTCTGCAGCTGGAGCAGCCTGGGCATGGCATGATGCTGCTGCAGGGCCAAGAACTGTAGGGGAAGGGCTCCCTCGCTGAGGGACTGCTCGAAATGTAGCTCTCGCTTGTCGTGCTCCAGGGAGCTGGAAAAGTGTTGCAGAAACTCCAGGCTTAGCTCGAGAAACTCGGGCACTTTGCCGGCCGACATTTCCAGATCCTGCTGGCACATCTTGTCCACTGGGAGGCGTCCCACCTTTTGTATCAACTTGGCCGCCGCCTGCAGCGGAAACTTCAGAGTGGCATTCCACAGCATGCAGCAGATGCCGTGCTTCAAGGCCCAATCGGGCGTACGGAACTCGGCCAGACAGAGCAGGGCTGACCTCATATGGTCCAGCGATGAGAGCTCTTTGCTCCACTGCACCATATACTGCCAGGACATGAGGCTCAGCAGCACGCCCGACTCCAGGCTGAAAGGAAAGTGGGCGCGTAGCAGTGCCAGTCGCTCCAGCACGGGCTCATTGGCAGGCACCACCTGCACTTCCTTGGCCAGTTCTAGCTCTGATTCGGTTGCATCGTTTTCTTGCTCCTCTTTCGCTGCCTTCTCCTCGTCCTCTTTGACTTTGGCTCTGGTCAACACTCGACTCTCTTCATCCAGTTCATTTTCGGCTGCTGTAATCTCGACAATCTTGCTGGGATGAAGCTGCGCACTGACCAACCATTTGGCAGTCAGCTCCGTGACGATGCCTTTGCCACCGTTGACGATGCTCTTGAGGCTGCAGTCTGGCGTCTCGTACGGCATTTCCGGACCCACTGGATCCCGGCAGATTAGGGGCTTCCCTAAAATGGCACCCAAGACAGAGACATCCTCCAGTTTGCCCGTGAGCAGGCCCCACTGTGCCTCGTCATGGGATATGCGTTCCCAGCGCTCCTCTTCCTCGTTCTGGGATGATTCGTCACACGAGCCCTGCAAAATGGAATAGTAATCATGGGGCACAGGGTATAGGGCATAAATGGTACGACAGAACGAACCTCCTTTCGATTGCGCCAGAGATTTGTGGCCACCGTTTTGCAGACAATTGCCACGAGAAGACCAGAGAACTGTTTGCTCTCCAGGAGCTGCTCGCGAACCTCCTGCCACCAGGGCGATATGGCATTGTATGCATAGTCGTGGATATGATCGCCGGCCAGCTCGCAAATGGTCTGCACCATTGCCGCAATGCGCGACATGTCCTTCACGACTTCATCACTGCCAAAAAGGGACAGAAACAAATTGAAACGTAAGCACAAATGAGCCTAAAAAGCGTTTCTTTTCCTCTTACCAGTTGTTGTACTTGAAAGGCTTTTCCAGCCAGAACCAAATGATTAGCGTCAGCAGATCCTTGCTGGGCAGGCAGGCCTGGCCAATCCACTCCTTAAACTGGCCAAAGCACAGGCCCTGGCCAAAGAACTGACTGAAGAGATCGATGCTGACGGCACCAAACTTGTCCGCCTTCTCGGGGAGCAGACTAATGCCATCCGGACTCTCGATGTTGAAGATGCTCAGGTAATCCACAAACTCTTCGGACTTGTGCACATCCCTTAGCTGAAAGCTGACCTCGCGAGTGCCGGATGGTTTGTCCTTCACGCTGCCATCGTCCAGGAGCAGAACCAACTTATTGATCGTCACCAGATCGGCATCCGAGAGCTCCAAGTGCTCCACGGGTGGTTCGTTGTCACTTCGCTGACAGACTTGGCTGAGGGCCAAGTAAAGGTCGGTGAGGCGCTTGTAGTTCTCGATTTGATGCACAAACTCGTGGAAATCCTCGCCAGCTGGTGGTTCGGGCAGCGGCTTCTTGATGAATGCATTAACAATGCATTGGAATACAAAGGGTTGCAGCTTTTTACTCTTGAGCAGCATTTCCACACATTGTTGGCGCACCTCCAACGTCTGCAGTTCGCTGGCCAGCACTGCAATCTCCTCTAGCTTCTGGTCATTGGCCTCCTCAGCGTGGGTCAGGGCGCGCATTTGGTTCCTGAGACGCCTCAGCATGTGGATATCGCGCGACGTCTGCGAGTTGGTCTCGCTCAGAGCATAGTGAAATGGTATGTGGATCTCCTTCAAGCTGCTGTCGCTGGGATCCAGGAACAGACAATGGTTAATGGCAGCCGACTTCCTGGACTGCCCTCCTCCTCCGCCGCCCGCTGCTTGGCCAACGCCAAGAGCACTGTGATTGTTGTAAATCAATTGGCCGCTCTTGCAGACATTAAAGGCGGCCACTTTGGGTCCATTCTGCAGGGCCCAGATGTCCAGACAGCCCATACGCGGCGCATAGATGACCAAAAACAAGGCCTTCCTCTTGTGTGTCTTGATGCCACGCACGGATCTCTCCTTGACGGGCACAAAGGCGCATTGGGCATCGCGATAGCCCTTCCATACGCGCAGAATGATGGCCTGTTGTGTGTCCACCAGCATCACACGATCCAGATTATCCGTGACGACTGCCAAGCGTCCGCCTGGGGCTATGGCCAAGGTAAGGCCATCCCTTTTGCCGTCATACAGGCGGCACCGTATCCGCATGGGTGCCTCCTTGGTGGGCAATGGCAGTGGGGCATCTTCTGGGGTTGGCGGTTGTTCGGGGGCACGCTTAAACAATCCGCCCAGAAGATTATTGTAGGCTAATCCAATCACACCCTTGGCCACCTCACCCAGTGACACGGTCTTGTAGCCCTCCTCGGCATGAAAGAATCCCAAATAGGGTTCCGCTCCGGCTGCCAGCACTTGAGAGCTACGCGGCGGTGTGGCATGCACCTTGGCATAGTAGCCGTGGCCAATGCTCTGCTGGACAATGTAGTCGTAGGTCGGAGGTCGTTGTGTGCTCGATATGGCGGCGTCGTTAATAATGCCTTCGCGCTCCTGCTTGAATTTGTACTTCTGGAATGGCACCACATCCGCAATGGGATAGGAACCCCGCTCCAGGGCACCACGCTGGACATTGTGGCGACAGTTGGTCAGCGTGGGCAATATGTCCTGGCCCTTCATGAAGCACAAGCAGCGGGTGTACACAATGTAGAGCAGGGGATCGCCCTCAGAGTTGCGTGGAGGTGATTGCAATTTGACGCCAATCACAGGATCCTCCTGACAACTGGAAAAACATACCCATTAATAACCGATAAAGAACAGTTTAATGACTAACCATTGAGAGAAGAGCTTTTGGCCAGCTTCTGTGTAAAAGACAACCAGACCAGAGACCAAGCCCACTGCCACGCATGTCCATTCTATGGCTCCATCAGTGTTCCGACTCTGCGTCATAGGCAGACACGTCAGACTGGTCACAATCTGATTGGGATCCTCCAGCTCGCCGCACCATCCCAGGGCGTAGGTGTTGGCATGTCCATTGCTGCTCCAACAGGTCGATAGAAAGGCTAGCTTCTCCCCTTGGGCCAGGGCGATCAGCTCCCCCGTTGGTGAAATTGCAGAGTTTATAGCGTTAAGCCAATTATCGTCTGCTCGATGGGAAAATGTTTGCATTAACTACCGGTAGTGCTAGTCATAACTTTCAGTGTCTCACCATGCCCGAGGCCAAAGTATTCCTGAACTTTTCTAAAATCGCATATTTCCCCAAATGTTTTCACTTCACAGGCCATTTTCTTTTGTTGTTTGTTGTCATTGCACAGCTGTTACCACTTAGCCCACTTAACCCCCCACTATTTAAACAGGCGAACAATTTCAATGAAGCCGTGCAAAATAATAATGTTTGTAAATTCTCCTTATAGCTCTATCCTGCTCTTTACTTTCAAAACAAAAATGAGCATGATATTTTTCACCTGAACTACGCTAAAATGATTCAAGCTTCACAAATTTCGTGGGGAATATTTAATACCCTCGTGGTCGACAATGGGCTAACGTTACTTTTAGTTGATCGGAAATCATATTTGCCGATTTTGAAATTCGGTTTCATATTATCAGCCAGCTAGGACTCTCAGGACTAAACATATAATTTTATCCGATAGATGTATCAATTTTCTACAATCTATCTTATTTTAAGGACTCCCATTTATTGGATTACTTTTGAAATAAGGTTTAAGAAAATAAGGTCAACCAAAATGTCCCTTTTTCACATGGTAACTACACGACAACTACACATTTTCTACATATCAACGACTTATATGTGGAGTACGAGCTGAGTCACAATAAACTGCGTCTATCGATACGAGAGCAACAGGTATCGATAGCAATGTTTTGGCGCTAACATTTTAATGTTTGTTTATTTCGGTACATAAACGCAAATCAAAGCAAAAATCTATATTAAGTCCGACTCCACACCACTGTCAATGTAGTCCTTCAGCATCAGACCACAATGATCTGGAAGAAGCCTCGTCCAGTTGTTGATGTGCAGCAGACAGCTGGGAATAGTTACCTCCAGAGCGTCGGAGCGATGTGCCTCGACAATACGCATTGCCACCTCCTTGGGATCCAGTAAACCCAGAATCGATGGGAACTTTACTTTCGGATGCTTGCACAGGCCCGTGTTTGTCATGTACGGGAAAATTGTTGTGGTTTTTATCTGTCCACGAAAAGTAGGTTAGTTCAGAACATACTCGTACGACTTTGCATTTAATAACTCTTACCATATTTCTGTAGGGTCCCTCGCGTAGTTCTTCATGCAGGGCCTCCATCAAACCGCGCACAGCGAATTTGGTGGCACAATATGGAACCAGATTCGAGAGTCCCACCACACCCGCAATGGAGGAAAGAGCGATAATGTGGCCGCGATTCTTCTCCTCCATATGCGAGAGGAAGGCCTGTATTGTCCAGAACTGCGAGAACACATTCACATCGAAGACGCGCTGGATCTCCTCAGCCGATTGCTGTAAAATGGGATGCGTGGGCATGATTCCCACATTATTGATCAGCACCGATATGGGTCCGACCTCTGCCTTGACGCGATCCGCCAATGCCATAACCTGCTCTCGCTTGGAGACATCGCAACTAAAAAAAGGTTTTGATACAGTATTTGAATGTGGGTATTCTCTGGTTGGCTATTTGGAATACCAACATGAAACTGTGAACATCGCCCAAATTAAGGCGCTTGGCCTTTTGGACTGTCTGCAAGTTATTCTTCTCATTAATATCCACACATATCACAGTGCTGCCCAAGGAGGCGTAGTGCAGAGCAAGCTCCCGGCCAATGCCGTGGCCAGTGCCGGTAATCTAAAAACGAAACATTAAACAATATGTTTTTAATTATTCAATAGTATATTCGTTACTTACCAGAACAACTTCACCGCTGATATCCTTAAGCCTTTTGGGCAATGCCTTCTGGATGAGCATGACAAACATTTCCAGAAAGATGCGCAAGAAAAGCAACAGAAATTGTACAACATCCTGCAGAACATCAAACAGTCTCTTCGATGCAGTTGTGGTGCTACAAAATTATAGAATATGTTAACATTAAACACTCATTGTGTATGCCATGGTCAATAACGATAGCACAAACAATTAGTTGGGTCAACTACTAGCTCAAGTAGAAGCAAATATTTGCCAAAAGTCGAGGCTTGGCAAGCCCCGAAATGATTTAATTTAGCTATTTGTATGCGGTTTGCTGCATGTGCAATGTTCAAGCAGTCATATAGATTGCTATTCGCCTGACTTTGCCATAGCACATAGCAAGCACATCGCAGCAAGCATAATAAGAGATAATGGAAAAATGTTCAGACTTGTTGCAAATGTTGACTCTGGTTCTTGGCACCCTTTTTTAGAGCGCTTGGGGATTTTATCTCAGAGTGTAACTGTGGGGATGCAGCAGCAGTTTACCAGCGCTATCAGGCCTTGTGCTCCCATATAAAATACATACATACATACATAATGCGATAAAACACTTACTGGATAATTTCACGCTCAATCATGGCGACAGTTGGATAAGTATGTTGTTTGGCTGCGTTTTCCTTTTAATCTCTTTGCCCTGACAGCCCTTTGAGTGCAAAGTCAAGCAGAGCGCCCAGTGATTTGTATAATTTCTATAATGAAAAAACAAATAATGATTGTCAGTCACGGCTAGCTCGGTTTTTGGTTTTGATTTGTTTTGTATTATCTCTTCCGTATTTGCTGGTTTCCTTTTTCACAATTTTTGGTGTGCTTTATGCAGTTTGTTGTATTTTTCCTATTATTTTAGACAACTGGCTGGGGAAAGAGCAGTTGGCGGCGGCGTAGGCGAGCGAGGAAAGCAAATGCAACATTTCCACTTTCGTTTTCGTTTCGTTATGCCTTGCCTCATCTGGGCAACTGAAAATGAAAATTACGTACACTCCAATGTGGCACAGACAGAGCGAGAGAGAGGACGACTCGATTACGCCTTTGCCTATGCCAAAAAGTGCAACCAGCCAAGCCACTTGGCGGTGCTCTTGGTGTAATTCTCTTCGATTCGACTGGGCTGCGGCTGGTTGGGGCTCTTGGGGTCTCTTGGCGGCGACTGGCAGCTACAGCTACAGCTACATGGCTTATTGCAACGGGGAAGCCAAGTGTTTGTTGCAACAACCAAGAGCCATAACCATAAAATGCAACGGGGTGTGCTTCATTAGTTTCAAATGGATTTTGTTTTGTGCAATTTTGTTTTAGAAAACTTGTTATTTATTTAGAACACTTCTAAAAATTATTATTATTTTATACAAATTATTTAGTCTCTTCTTTTAGCATTTTTTAGTTATATGAAACCACATATTTCGGGTGCAATTATTTGGAATAAACAAAATTATTTCAGAAGGAAAATATGCACTTTAAAGGTGATACTCTATAGTTCCTTTGTACTAATGTTATTGAGAAACCGTTGGACACTATACATTTTATATTTGAATTAATTTGCATTGAAAACATTGCAACACTTTAATTACAAGACTCGAAATCCTAAGATTCCTTTACACATATTCCCAAAACTGGTATGAAAACCAAGTTTACGCAATATTTACACAATATCCCAAAGATCCGAAATGGAAGATCGTTTGCCAAGTCAAAGCTTGAGCGACCGTTAAGTCTCGTTGCTTGCAGCCAACTGATGTTAGCAGCGGGTGCTTGGAGCAAACGAAGCCCACAATTCCAACAGGCTGGGCTGAGCGGTGGCTCCAACAGAGAGAGAGAGACAAAGAGAGAGAGAGAGAGAATTTGGGGGCTTCAGGGAGTGGAAAGAGACGATCCTTGAGATTTAGCCTGAAATCTGATAAATGATCTGTGGCATGTGGCTGGCTGGCTGGTGTCGTGTCTTTTGTTTACACGTCTCCCGACAGATGACCTTCATTCAGGGTAGGGAGGGTCCAGACTGAAACAAAAGACCGGGAAGCAGCAGCAGCTAACAAACATACATACATACATATATACATATGTAAGTAAACGAAGCTTAGTATGATTTACCGTTTATTTGCTTTATGTTTTCTTTTTGTTTCTTTTGTGGTTTTGTTGGATTGGATGAGTAAGCAAAAGTTCGACATACGATCTGCAGTCGGAGCCAAGTTCAAGTTCAGCAATCATAAGCGAAGGAAAGACAGAGAGAGAGAGAGAGAAAGAAATATTTTGAGATGAAAGTGAATGTGAGAGCGAAATTTGAATTCCGTTTCTACATTTAAAATCTTATCCAGCCTTTGTCCTTGAGGCGATAACCAGTATTATGTTCCGAAAGTAACTTGAACTTAGCTTTGCTCTGCTTTACTTTAATTGGTTTTTTTTTGGTGCTGTGGTGCTGTGTTTTTGTGTACCCTGGCAGAGGGTATAATATATATTCTTGATAATGATATCAACACCCAAGCTAACATAATACGAATAATCATTTCAGTAAATCCGACCGACTGTCTCGGTATTTTCTGTAAAACGATTATTCCTTTTTTTTCTATACGTAGCACATACATATGTATGCACATATGTACATATATTAATACATATGTATGTATACTTTAGATCCATCAATATTGTCTAACTACTAAAATATCTTATGGCTGCAAGGGGAACAAGTTAAATTCTTTGAAATCAAAAATTTCCCATAATAAGTATTGGCAATATGTTATTGCAGTTGCATGATATGGTACACATCGGTTCACCATAATTTAGCTGCCATAGGAATAACTACTGTGCAAGGGTATCAATAGCTTCGAATCCAGCAGTCCCCGTTTCTTTGTTTTTTGTATATTTATTATCTTTTGATGTTGTCTGTAGATATTCCTCGTTGCAGTGGGGAAGGTCATTGAAGGGTTGCCCGCTTTTTCACTGCGATCGACGACCCGTTCACATATTGTAATTGGTGTCAATTTGGTGTGGAACAGTAGCAACACATGAAGTGCATAGTACAGTAAAAATATATCTTAATGAACAGGGGCACAAAATTAAGTTATCATCTGCTTACTTTTATCGTTACTTTATCGATGCCTTCTCATAGGGGGACACCCTGGGGCTATCCTAGAGAGCTTTCACTGTACTTGCACTTTCCGAACTGTGCATTAAATGAAATCACATTTAAAGCTCTACCATATAGAGCATACAGCATACACAAAGCCTCCAACCCTAATCAAATATCGAAACTTCTGTTTCCTGACTGCCATTTAAATAATCATCAACTTCCCCACACAAATCACAATAAGCAAAGTTTCTGCTTATTATGTCTTCCCCTTCCCATGCACTGAACCAGCGCCTTCCCTTTTGGTTAATGGTCGTGCTTTGTGGTCTGCGGTCTAGCTTGTTGCTTATTGTTTGGGCTTTATGGTTCCGTTTTCCCCTTACCCTACCAATCTCTAGTACTAGTATGTATTTTCCCCTTATCGATATGGCGTGCATTAGCAATCAATATGACATGTCAGGCACATGGCGACGGAGGGGGAATGACAGCAGGCAAACCGAAATACGGTGGCAAAGCAGGATGGTAAGGGGGCTGGAGTACATTCATATCAGATCTGATTTGATAAGTTCCGAAACGGGTTACTAATGTGCAATGCATACAATTGTTATGTTTCTATTTCGGACTTAATTAAGGAGGTTCTGTCGGGTGGTTTAATGTGTACTTAGCTATGCTAATATCCTACACAAATTTCGCTCTTTATCCCTAAATATATTTCCGTTGACAGGGACAAACAATTAAGAAGCTTCAACCGATTTAGCTAGCCTTGAAATGGAATATTGCCATCATATTAATGCATTCAGTACACTATGTAAGTATGTATATATGTATATGTACTCTAGGTATACACATACATATGCATGCATGTATGTATGTATACTAGTAGATGTTCCTCTAGATTACCTCATCTTTAATTCGAATATTTATAAAAACATTACACTTGGTATGTTCTGCTAATTGTCAACTATCAATCCGACTACTCGTCCTGCCATTAACATGCAACACAAAATGGGGAAAACAGATAAAGCCGTTCCTGAAATACCCTTTAATAAATAAATTTACATTCAAATGGTTTATTTTGGATCGGATCCAATTATATTTAATAAGCCTAGATGCTAGAGGACACTGTTGCGGAATGCCTAAAAGAAAATTGAACTTACGAGATTTTAAATATTTTTATCGTTTTCTATATAGTTTTGGATCTTGATCGGCACTTCCTCCGAACGGATTTTATTTTGAATTCAATTTAAACTCTGTTTGTTCGTATGGTCTGGAGACTACTTTAAAGATTACTCGTATTTAATTTGAAACAAAACTGGGAATTAAAAACTTTAAATTAATTTGAAGACAGCTCGATCTTTAAGCTAGAGATATCTAAAGTAATTTTGAAACCATAAAAATCATATAGAGTTACCCAATTTAAAAAAGCTTTGATATTAGAATAAGTGATGTCCCATCCACTGCATAGTTCCGAGTCTAATTTTTTTTGAGTTGCAAGACATTCTGATCATTCTATTGAGTCTGCCGAAAACCAGTTTTTTGCCCAAGAACTGGGAAAAAGTTTTGCATTAAATAAAAAAAAAACAGGACTGTCTTGCCAAACAATTTCTACATTGCTGAATGATTGATGATTACTTCTACTACAATGAAAAATATGAGAGGTGTCACTAACCCCTCACTTTACAAAATTAACTAAAATTTATTTTGAATTAAAGTCTGTATTATCTATACAGAAAATAATGTACTGAAGCACATTCAGCATTAACTTCTCCAACTTCCTGACAAATTCGTTGGGGCTTGCCCCGAATTAGGGTATTTAATTGTCGACGCATGTGGCAGCAATGCAATGTGGCAGCCTGAAAGGCGGCTTCAGTTGCCGTTGGCAAGCCAGGCGGCACACAACGTCAAGAAAAATAAACCGGCAGCCAGAGGCATAAGGAGATCGAACCGGAAAAAGATTAAAGCCAAAATGTGAGTGTCTAAGGAGGAGATGCCATGCCGCCATGGCAAGGACCTGCATATTGTTTTTTGTTCTACTTCCTGTCTGTGTCTCTTTCTGGGTGTGTGTGTGTGTGTGTGTGTGTGTGTGAGCTCGTGATTTGTTTACCTGTCAACATAATAAATATAACTTTTGTTTTCGTGGGTCATAAAATACGGTTGGTTGGCATTGGAATTGGATCCAAACAGCAGCGAAACAGTGAAACAGCGAAACCAGGGCGAAGGCCTTTCGGGCGCCTGTCTGGCATGTCCTGTGCTGTGCCAAGTGCAGTGTCAAAAGTCAAGCGAAGGATAATGGCCCAGAGCCGAGAATGACAAGAAAAATGCCCCCACAACACTTGCCAGACACATTTCATTTCACTTTCGGAAGAGTCAAATTCAATTTTATAGAAATTCCACGTGTGCCTTAAAGTATGCAACAGTTTGAGCTCCATTTAGTTTTAAACCCGTATTTAGTTGACTTTTCGATTCAATTCAAATATACAAAATCTCACATTGTCAGGCACGCTTCACAGGATGTTTCTGCCGGCGCCTAACCAGACATGCAAACGCATCCAGGTGTCCTTTATTGGTAGGTTCTTCTCCAGGCAACTGCAGCAGATGAGCCAGCACCGAAGGACGTCCTATGCCCGTGCAGCCCTTGAGCAGTTCCAGCCCCCAGGACTATGCCAAGCCGTCATCCCTCTGAAGGCCACACCCAGCTTGGTGGCCATGCAGCGGAGTCAACAGTTCGGCGAGGATTACCGCATCTATCAGCAGAACATCGACCTGGACTCGTTCTTCGGGGAGCAGCCAAAGTATGACAAGGTCTCGGATGTCTGCCTGCTCAACGATCACTTCATACTGGTGAAGATGCCCCAGTTCCAGTTCCAGCAGCCAGAGAAGCCACCTCCACAAATGAAGTCCAAGCTGCCGCGTTGCTTCAAATGCAATCGCAGCAGTCGCGTCTCGCCCATTCTGGAGGAGTTGGAAGAGCAGCCTCCTCGGAGGAGCTGCCTGAAACCCTGGGCCAGCAGGGACATGGATGAAGTGGAGGTCTTTGATTCCACCACAACTATAACAACCATCCCAAGTAAGGCCAGCTGGGATGGCCAGGCTGATGCTGAGATCTTCGATTCCAGCACCAAAGTAACAACCTTTCCACGTAAGTGGAAAGTATCTGCTCATGCTACTCCCGAATCTGTGATAGTAGAGCAGCCGCATCCACAGCCTCCTCCGATCCCTGCTCTTCTGCAGCTGGAAGCGATTCATCCAGCAGCATCCGCACAGCCGCCTGACCTCAACCGCGGCCCACTCCACTGGTTCCTCTGGCCCTTCCGCCGACGGCTCCACGCCAGACCCAAGGCCAAGCCCCAGCTGGCCGCCGTGCACAAAACCTACTTTGTGCGCTGGAGCAAACCGCCGGACACCATCTGGCAGGGCTACGGCGTGGACAGGGGCGAGAGGGAGCATAAGATGGCTCTGCGGCGCTGCCGTTCGGCTGTTTTCTGAGCGAATCAATCTACAGATACAGATCGTGTACATATGGGGGATATATTTTTAAAAGATTACTTTTTAAGGGTCCAATAATTAACTGCTTAAAGAGCTTTAACGGTTTCAGTTATTAGTTTGAAGAAAAATATTAAAATTTAATTGATATAATGTACACAATAACTGTACAATAACTGTTGATATCGGGTCTCAATAAGGGAGGAGGAAATGATCCATAAAGCGGTATCATAACGGGCCGAACCCGGCCTAAGTGTGTTGGGTTCCTGGTGATCCCGACTGCCGCTTCAACCTCAACCTAACCTAGTTTATTGATTATTTCTGAGGGTAGCGCGTTAATCTCAAGTTTTCTTATATACTCAAAAATACTCAGAGTATTAGAGGCTTATTACAATTTTTATTGAGATTGATAAATGCTATAATTGGACGTGTTCTTGAGAGGTTTCCATTCTCCAAGAAACATACAAAGGAGTAAAAAATCGATGCTGTGCATAGGCACTATATAATCCCGAAAAGGAATTCACTAGTTGCACGATGTTTAAATTTCCCAAGAAATAACTTAGATTGAGAAGAATGACATGAAAATGTTATAGAAAACTCGATGTACATACATAGATTCAAGTCAAGATTATAGTCTGCAAGAGAGACCCCGCGTTCGTCGGGGCACATGTCAAACTTCAATTTCCGCATACAAAATTAGTGCCCTGCCTGCCAGGCCTGCCACAAACACAAACTTTAGCCACAATGTGCGGAGAGGCATACAATAACGCCAAAAGGAAGCTAAAAGTAATACTACCAAGAAGGCAACAAAATGCAAACTACGTAAATTGCTGGGGCCAATCCAATGCAGATAAAGTGAAGAAAACAAAAAGAGGAAAACTTTGACTCCTTTTTTCAATGGAATTTGCACGCGTCCGTGAAGTCAGAGCACCAGGGGCTGCACTAGACCATGTGGAGCGTTATGGAGCGGCGGTCTGAGGGGGGTTGCTTCATTAGCTTGGGGCCTGCAAAAAGTCGGGCAATGTCGTTCGTTACTCCCCGGTACGGCCGCTGGATGGCGCTGCCGCGTAGTTCTACAACTAATTGCAAGAGACCCCGACGTTTGACCATAAAAAAAAAACCAACCAACAAGTTCATGATAAAACTACAACTACAACTACTGTCTGAAAGTATGACGAAAGGGAGACGAGAGGGCGTGGATGTAGATGTGGATGCAAGCAAGCCCCGTGCGCCACAATATACATAATAATAAAATAAAATTAAAACCGTCACGCCAGGCGTCAGAGGCAGAAACAGAGGCAGAGCCAGAGCCAGAGCTAGAGCGGCTGAAAACAAAGCAACCAAAACCGTAGCACAGCCAAAAACCTACAAGCCCAAAGGAGCTGCCACTGAAACTGAAGTTGCAGCACAGCACAGCACACATGACCAGAAACACAGACCCCATCCAGATCCGAGCCCTGTATTACTGCCACTGAGGCAGCAGGTCACCATAATGAACCATTAATATGCAAGTTCCCTACCCCCACCCGCCGCCCTGAAACTGTGCGATAAGAACCCAAACGCTTTTCTTTTATCGAAAATCGAACTACGAACTTTGTATTTAATATTGCTCTCTCCATTGTGTTTTTTTTCCCCTTTGATTGCCCCTCCTCCACCCTTCTTCAACTGGTCTGTGGCCCGACCTGTGCTTATCATTAATAATAATGTCGGCATGGAGGCGAGCACATTACCATTTTGGCCAAATGTTGAATTAGATGGCGATGGCCCAGACGGCTTGGGGAATTGAGGGATTGTTTTTCTATGTGTTTTTTGTTGAGTGCTTGTAGGGGGGAAGGGAGCACCTGTTTCCGGTGGAATCCCACTTGGAATATAGTAATATCTGCTGTAAATTAATTTCAGTAATTTTTGATTAGTTTTCTACTTTTGGGATGGAAATCTTTTTAATATATAAAGTAATTTCATTTATACGAGTCTTATTAACCTCTAGAAATCTAACCATTCGGGAATTGAGCCGCCAGGACAAACCACCACAAAGCCACAGAAAAACACTTCTCATAATGGAAATAACAGCATAACTATTTACAAAATATATGTTTAGCAGAGTAACTAAATTTCTCAATTGAATAAAGACAAATCTAACTCAATAATATCATAATTGTGCCTCCAATCAAGGGAGGTAACTAAATATAGTCCAACACATTTATTATGAGAAATATTTTCAACTAACTTTGGGGGCGAATCTTTTCTGCAACATAATGCTGTACATATGAATGTACACCTGTCTACTGTTGACTGGGGATTAATAATAATCTCTTGTACTTATTATGAGCTAATTATGGGCTAAATAGGTGAACATTTAGCATATATTACTAGTCCAATCAAAGATTCCTGTTCGTTTGCCAAAATCAGCCTATTTCAATCTATTTTTCTCTTTTAAATTTTAGAAGATATAGTTAAATTATAAAGATGTAGAATGTATTATCTGCAGAGCTGTTATCACACACTTTCCTCTTTAAAAAGAATATTCTATAAGAATAAAGAAAATTATGCTTGTATGGTTTAGTGTCCTGCTGCCCACAAAGTATGCACAGATAAATCGTCTTAAATTAATCATTTTCAATATTGAAATGAAGGCTATTTAACTAATTAAAATTCAGCATAAATTAAATGTTCTTCAAGTTTCTCAAAAAATAATTTTTCTTGCTTAATTTAACAAAAATTACGTCGAAGCTAAGATATTGTACGCGTCTCAATCTGAATCTAAATTTTTTTAAAAATTTTTTTTTACATATTTAGTCTCCATCAACCGTGCTTATGTAGTTGAGGAATAATCTACATTTAATTAAACAATTCCTGTTCAATAACTTCTTTATTATCTTTCGGTCTGCCCCATATATTACAATACAAATTTCGTTAGCCAACATTTTCGACTTTCAGCTTCATTTAATTGGCGGAAAGTAGCGTATCGGTTCCGGCCAACTGAAGTTTTTGGCACTCCGGAGTGCGATGGATGGCAGACAGAAGACACTTGCTGGGCCAAGATGCCAAAAGGAAGCTGACAAGTTGCTAACATCAGCTATAGGCCATTGGCCATAAAAGGAGCAGCAGCAGCAGCAGCAGCAGCAGCAGCAAGAGAAGCAGCAGAGAGCAAAGTCCCGCCAAGCATTCCAAATCGATTACGACTGTCTTTTGAGAAGATCAAACAGAGAGCAGGCTATACGTATATCTTTTGCTCTCTTGCACACCAGCCGGCAAGGTGTTTATTAATAAAACTCCAACTATTCAAAAAGAAGCAGAGAGGAGATGGCAATACACTCACAGACAGAAGATCGGGAAAGAGAGACATCGTCGCGAAACAGAAACAGTTGGTGGTAGACAAAGTGTTGACAATACCCAGGGAGGGATCTGAGAGCAGTACCATGTCGGAGTCCAAGTCCCTGTCCGAGTCGTTGGCACCGACTGCGCAACGACCTTCGGGCCCGGTTCGGGTACGGGTACGGGCAATCATCGTTAATGATGGCAATGTCCTTGTGCGCCTCAATTTGACAAATCAATTTGTGCGCTAACAGCATGCGCTCTACGGCCAGGACACGGACACAGCCGAGCTGTCCCACTGACTTGAACGAGGACACATCGGGCAGAGACCCATCACAGTACGAGTAGTTGGAACGACAGACCAAACCGAAATGTTTGCCAATACACAGGATGGCAACTGTTTTGGGTGTGTCGTGGGGTGACGTGTCACATAAATGGATCTACTCGTAGTCGGATAGAGATGCTTTCATGGTTCCATCAACTTCATTCACTTGGCTGCGATGGGATCTCATTTTGCTGCCCCTAATCCTTCTTATTCCCTATTATCCTTGACTTACAGACTTCGCACAATCTCTAGTTTCTCTCTCTTCGGACTGAACACCTCATTAGCAAGGATTATCGCTGCAGTTTGCGAACTACCTAAACCCTCCATCGATCCGCCGATCCGATCCTCACATCCTACCTGACTTTGACTTCGCCTTCGCCTGGCTGACTGAAAGCTAAGCCTTTCTTGGCTTAACTCTTGCCAGGACGGCGACGGACCTCTGGGAAAGGGGTTTGTGTCCCGGCTGAGTGCTGGACGCGCGAGGACGAAGAATGACAGCAAATAAAAGTTTATGATGTCTGTCGTAAAAGTGCCCGAAAAACGAGTTGACCTGGTCCAGACCTGGTCCACAGAGGGGTTATGGTTTAAGGGCTGTGCGCCGTTTACTGCATTCTTCCTGGCAGCAAAGGATTATTTCCGAAATATCCTAATCCCTTAGAGAGCAGGAGAGAGAGATAGAGAGACTACACGTACACTGACGCGCTGACAAATCCTTTCGCAACCTTAGAACCTCGCTGCCCTCCTGGAATTGGAATTTTTGATTCGCAAATCCATCTCGGGGTTAGTCCACCTTGCTGTCGAGTAAATATTTTGAGGTTTTGCGCTGCTTATGTCTCAGGCACCGCCTGACAATCGCTGGCCAGGAACTATTTATTGGTCCATCATGTGGCAGCCACAGGTAGATAGTTCGGATCCCATCCGATCCGACGTCCAGTCCAGCAACAATTAATAAAAAAAATTAAATTAAATTTCATCTTGAGATTCGTTGTAAATTACTGTTTTCCCTGCCTTTGATGTTCAACACATTGTCGGCTCATTAATCACCCAGGGAGAAGGCAGTTGTCGGAGAGAGAGCGCGGCCAAGAGCAGCCTCCTCTGTCCCTGATCTCTGGACAGCACCGAGTTGAGTTCCACAACTTCCATTATCTCCCCAGAAGCCCCAGAGAGGGGGGCTTACCATCGCAGCTTTTCTTTTGCAGTAACTTTGCTTAGTAATTTTTGTATCGCTACCGAAAATTAATGCGTTATATTTTAGATTTAATCCATCCATTCTCAATCGAAGCCCAAAGCTTTCTACAGTAGCCCTCTCATGGCATAGAGTTTTCCCCGAGTCTCGCTCAGTGGGTAACGAATAAAAACATAATTGGTTTATTAACCTGAAAATAAGTTAGTATGGTGCGGGGTGCTATTAAATTGGCATTAGAAATTGTGGGTTAGGAAATGGGGCGCAGAAGATTCTCACACTAACAGCTGAAACTTCAACTGGAATGATGATTCTAAATCCTGCTTTTAGGTGTATGGAAACTTAAACATAGAAGAAGGATATGATTTGTCAATTGAATCGAATTAAATGGGAGTCTAATTTAAAGCATTATTTTTGTTTATTGTCTATGCTACCATTCGTTCGAAAACAAGGTTAGTTCAAATGTTACTTATCCCAGATGTTTTTATTTTTTTTTATTTTAGTCCATGGTGAAAATCCTTCATTCATAGCTACAAAGGAATCTATTTCTGTGATTTTATTGTTCTGTATTCAGGATATTAAAAGTTCCACAATATCGTTTGAAGAAGTAACAAAATATAATTAAAGTTCTAATGAGTAAGGGAACCTTTATTAACTATTTTTCCTGTTTAATTTCTTTTTATCAAATCGAATTTCGATCAGTTTTTAATTTTTACAGAACCACATTTCATCTTGAAGACCCATGCCACCGTCACTAAACCGTTTGTTCCAATTAAACTCTTGATGAAAATTTAATCGTAGTCTCCACTCTAAGATCCATATGCCCACACAGATAACCGCTCAATGCTTTTGACTATTTTAATCCATAGATTCCTTAATGATCAGAAAGAATTTACACATTATACATTAATGATAAAGGAATATATGAGGCAGAATAATTTCAATGAGAACTTTGTACTCAAATGACGCATTTCAAATGAAATGTCCTTCCTTACCGTATTAATTCTTGACCGCATATTTTGTTGGCACTCTTCCCTTGTTTTTTTGTTTTTTCCCAGCTTCTCAAGCATTTTCTTCTCTCTAATGATAACCAAGATATGAGCCCAAAATTTTCAGATTTAAGATTTTATCTAAATGAGGAAATATTTAGCATCGAACAGACACAACCCCTGACAGAACACTGATAGAAATCAAATGGATCTAAATGGATTTTGTGCAATTTTCTTTTGCTAATCTTTGGCACATTGGTTACCTGGAAAAAATCCTAATGAGGACCTAAGTCGATTGCAAAGTCAATATTTACTTTGCTTGGCTGGCTGGTCAGGGGAAAACAAACAACTATTATTCGATTTTTCTAGATTAAAATAATAGAGCCACGACCTAAGGCTGTCTGAGCTGCTTCGGATTACATATATCGTTCAAGGATGATTTGGGATCGTTTGAGTTCGTTCTTTTGGGGTAATGACTTCATTAATTGCCATCACTCAGACACGTAGGATGGACAGAGAGTTCTAGGATGAGGTGTGAATTTGAGGTAAGTCTGAAATAGGGCAATTACGAGGGATACTGCAATTCAATGGAATCGAAAGGGCAATTAACACCTTGGTTGGAGTTTGCCTTAATTCTGATAAGCGACCGAAAACTCAGCGAAATACTGCAATTTTCCCGTTTCCAGTTTTGGAGTTTCTATTTCTATTTCTCTTTCTGTTTTTTTTTTTGGGAAAAACATTTGGCATTGGCACAGCTTGACATGCCAAATAAAATAGGTGTTCCGAGAGTGCCCTGTGCCCTGTGCCCTGTGCCCCGTGGAGTTTGTTGAAATCTCCAGCCATGTCCGTGGAATGTGCAGAGGCTACTTAAAGGCTCTAATGTGGCACAGCAATGGGCCAGCAGGATTTCCATTTCCGATTGCCTGCTGCGAACAGAAGCGTGTCAAGGCTACTGAATGGATGAACACTAACAAGACTTCGAGTGTAAGGAATGGACTGTTCTTAGTTTTGTTTTGGATAAATTAGAATATGTATTTATTTTCAAGGCACTTGCTACTTAGCATAGAGATCTTAGGATACAAAATATACTCGTACTCGTACTTATTGTAGGATAAACTATGATCAAGACTTAGCTATAGATAATTGCTGCTACTCGGGGAAGTCCTGAAGATGTTTTCCATCTGGAAAATGTCTCTACTTCCCGCTCCCGCTCCCTTCCCTTCCCATCCCTTCATCCCTTGTGTATGTACATCTTTGGCGACATCAAGCGACGGATCAGGTGACACCTGCTCCCGATCCTCCCTGCTCAAACCCCCTCCTAGTACCAGGAGTGATGGTAGAACGGCTGTGGGGGCATCGTCGTGTAGTTGACCTTCGAGGGCGATGAGAAGGCGGCGGCATTGAAGTTCTGCGACATGAAATGTGTCGAGGAGGTGGGCGGATAGTGGGGATGTCCCGCTCCAGCGTACTGCGGATGGTGCGCATGCGGATGCGGATGTGGAGCGTGCCCATGCCCGTGCGGATGGGGATGGCCGTGAGCATGATGCGAATGCGAGTGCGCATGCGAGTGTCCCGTGGCCGTGGGATATGGCGCATACTGCGGCGTGTGCTGATACGGATGGAACATCTGATGGGCGGCTGCCGACACCTCCAGGGCCTGGCTGGTGGAGCTGGTCGAGTTCAAAGAGTCCTCCGGCGAGAGTGGGGCATTCGGGCGCAGGCTCTGCATCGAGCTCCAGCTGCTGTAGAGCTGAGGCTGAGCCGCAGCTGCGGCGGCGGCCACCAGATCAGCGGCCTCCACTTTAAGGGCGGCCGACAGCTCCTCACTGCCGCCGCTGGCATTGGCCAACGACTGTGAGGACTCGCCGGAGGGACCACCACCGCCACCCACCACGGCCGAGAGGCTGTTGGGTGTGGGCGGCAGCTGGCCAAAGCCGGAGGAGACGGACTCATTGGGACTCTCGTTACGTGGCATTGTCTGATGCGGCTCAGATTCAGTGCTGTAGACGGAGGAGCCCACTCCCAGACCCAGTTGTGTCTCATAGCTGGGCGTCACGCCAGAGACGATGATGTTGCCCGAGCCGGAACCGGAGGTGGCGCTCGAGGGCATGATGTAGCTGGCCGTGCTGACGGCGCTCGGATTGTAGAACTGATGGTGATGCGGCGGCGTGGTGGCCGAGTTCAGGGAGGAGAGGGCCAGGCTGGAGCCGGGCGACAGGTTGCTGCCCACCGCCGTGGCCGTGGGTGCGGCGCTGCTGTAGAAGTCGTACTGCTGCTGGTAGGCGGCTGCCGCCTCCATGCTGGGCATCATGGCCAGAGGCGCCATGCTGGGCACGCTGGACACCACGCTGGAGGGCATCGAGACGGAGGGCATGGAGGAGCCCACGCCAGATCCAGGCCCACCGGAGACCGAGTTGTGCTGCTTGCGGAGACGTGCCCGGCGATTGCTGAACCACACCTGGATGCGTGCCTCCGTGAGATTGGTGCGCTGTGCCAGCTCCTCGCGCGTGTAGATGTCCGGGTACTGGGTGCGCTCAAAGGCTCGCTCCAGCTCGTCCAACTGGGCGGCGGAGAAGGTGGTGCGGCAGCGGCGCTGCTTGCGCTTGAGAGCGATGCCGGGCTCGCTCTCGCAGTCGGAGAGATCATCGTCGGAGGGCTTGTTGTTGTTGTTGTTGTGATGGCCCGACGAGAGGTCGGAGCCGCACGAGCTGGACGGTGCCTTGTGGTGGCCGGCGGAGGAGGAGGACGGCGACAGTTCGCTGTCCAGCGGGGCATCCCGGCCGCGCACCAGGCGCGATATGGCGGACACGGACGGGGCCGTGCTGCGGTCACAGATGCCCTCGCGAATGAGCTTCTCGCGTATCTCCCAGGAGAACATGCCCGGATTGGTGCGCTTGTAGTCCTCGATGCGGTTCTCGATCTCGGGCGTGGCGATTCTCGGCTTGGAACCCCCAATCACTCCCGGCCGTATCGAGCCCGTCTCCTGGTAGCGATTCAGTATCTTGGACACGCATCCATGGGAGACGCGCAACTGGCGTGATATCACGCACGGACGGATGCCATCGGCGGCCATCTCGACGATCTTTAGGCGTATATTATTTGGCAGTGGACGTCCGTTGATGAATACTCCGCCCAATTGATTGACTCGTCCTTGGCCGCTGTTCATGTCTGCAAGCGAAGAGAGAGAGACGGAAAAGGAAAGTTAGACAAATTTCCAAAGATAGTTTCCAATTTGCCAGGTAGGAGGAAGCGCGCGTGTCAGGAGCGTAGTCGCTGTGCCACTTGATTTACGACACCTCGCGCACAATTGACTTCCCGGGAAGGGGCAGAGGTTGCCCGTCGGAGCGAAGGTCATTCCGTCTCAACGACGCGCGACTCCTCTCCCGTCGAGAGCAGCTAATGGCCATTAGAGAGAGAGAGTCCTTGGAGAGAAGCGAAGATCGTACGGACTGTACGATCTGTTGATCTCTCAAGACCCGAGGCGAAGGACTTTGTGATCTCTCAATTCTCGGAGAAGGGAAGAACTGTTTGATCTCTCGATCTTCAAAGCTTTGGACATAGTTTCTTTACGATATTTCAATCCCCAAAGCTTTCAAACTTTCGATCTTTGATCTTTCTTCGATCTCTCAACCTTCCAATCGATGATGGGCTGTTCGATATTCAATATATCTTCGGGTTGATCGCAGACACTTACCTTGCATAGTGGAATATCCATTGAAGAAGGGTCTGTGCATTGCGGCGGCAAAGGCGGTTACAGTCATAGTTTCAGTGGCTCCAACCAAGCCCACAAAATGTTTGCCCGGAACGAACCGGCGTACTGCACCGATTGTGATGGCGCTTTCGTTGCGATTCACTTGACAATCGATCAGAGCTTTAAGTGATAATTAACCGATTTGTTTCAGTATTTCGATAAGCATAACCACGACACTTGGCTGGGCAACGGAGGAACGAACGGCGAAACGAAATGCAAAAAAAAATTAAGACGAAGACGTGGACGTAGACGAGATGTGGTCTGACTCGTTGCGCAGTCTGGGCCTAACTGACTTCACCAGACGAACGGCGGCCAAGATCGTTGCCTTTCTGTGAAGAAGGGCGACGACGGCAGCGGCAACGGCAACGGCAACGGCAAACGGCAGTGGCAGCCAAGATGTCAGCCATCTGGCAGGTAAAGCAATACGCGGACCAATCGCCGCACGCCCAGCTCTCGCTTCTCCCTCGCACTCGCGCTCAGATCTCAAGCAAGCAGGCCATCCATCCATCTCGCTCTATTTGGGGGGCGTCTCAGCGAAAGCAACGGCAAACACGGGAATGAGTAGCAGAAGTTCTGGAGGGGGTCCCATGTTGGCAAGTTCCAGCTGGTCCTTCTTTTGAGTTCCTGGCAGTCCTAGGCCTAGTTCATGCTCGGGGGGGGGGGTTCCACTTTTACTCCCGGAAATCAAATTAGATATTTAATGGAACGCATAATGCAATCGAGTATGCATTAAACAGTTTACAAGCGTAATATATCCTTTATTGATACCTCATTAGCGCCCTCAATTTATATGCCAACGATTGCCTCCACCTGCCCAACAGTTGGCCGTGACTTCAGGAACGACACAAAGAACCATCGGAGGTGGACAGAAATGGAACCACTCAAGGAAGTTTCGATGGCGGATACAAAGGATCGAAAGAAGAATTTGAGGATGGGAATTTCTAGAGGTAAGTTATGGATAAATACATATGTGGAGGTGAGATAAACATAACTCCATAAGAAAATTTAATATATTCTTACTAGGGATATTTGGATGTGTTCCTTCTTTTTATTTCGGGGTTTGTTTAGGATACAAAGGATTAGAAAACATTCTTGGATGGGATTGTGCAATAATTATAGATCTGATAGAATAAAGATAAAGAATAAAGAGAATAAAGAATATATTCCAAAAGAAAAAGAAAAGAAAAGAAAGAAAATAAAAATATTCTTAGCTTTCTGCACAGGAAAGAAAATTATTTAGAAAAGTTCCGCAAGCGTTGAAAAATTATAAATTTATTAGAGAAAACAATACAAAAACTAATTAAGAAAACTTAAAAATAAAATCAATCAATTAGCTTTCCAGCTCGTACTCGAAAGAGAATAAAACTCTGAATGATGATCCTCAGACAGGTTCTTCTTGCAAGCGCTAAGAACTACGAGTTTTCCCATGAAATAGGCCTTACCCTTAGACATATTCTAACCATATCCTTGTCACGCTTTTCTCTCCGCACTATTATGCACCAGTGCCCCTCATGGCTGGATGGCATCGATTCTGTTGGCTATTCTTGGTTGGTGGGTGCTTCGTGTGGGTTTGATTAATTATGAAATTTCACGCAACAGAGACCCCTCGAAAAGGTTAAGTAAAAACGCTGGAAAAGAAAGCGAGCCGCGCTGGCTGGCTGCAACCACTGAAAACTCTGAAAACACTGAAGCCATCGAACAATGGAGGAGCGCCAAGTGTTGGGAGAATTAATGATGGGCTCCAGCTGAAACGCCAGCGAGGAAATTGGCCCACAGAGACGTGACGAATTCCGCGCATTGCAGCCTCCTGGACAGGAGGAGAGTGAGGAGAGCCAGGATCAAGGACAACGGAGGCCGCAAGTCAACAAAGGTTGGGTTTCTACTGCTCGGTACGGCTGCCCGTTGGGTTTTTGGTTAAGCAAACCCAACGGGAGGAGTGGTGCACCCAGTACGGAATACGAATGTGCAAACATTTACGCCTGGCAGGAGACCCAGAACGACCTTGAGCCTTAATCCTTGAGTCTGGAGTGACCTTGACCAAACAGGAAGAAGAATCAATTGGGGGAAGCCTCTACGGATTACGCGGCGCCGCAACGCCGCCAATCGATCCGATTGCGATCCTCGTTGATTTCTCGATTTGGACAAACAATGAGCACTGAAAAGGCCACTCATATAACGCTAATTTTGCGCTATCAACGCGCAAAATGTCCAGCATCAGGATCAGAATCGAGTCTGAGCAGAGGAAAGGGCCAGGAGTGGGACAGGCAGACAGAAAGAGAGGGCCGAAAGCGGTACGAACATGCAGAAAACAGTAGGAGGCAGCGGTGCCATAAACGCTGCGATCGCATTTCCACGAACGGACGACAAGCGAGGAAAAATGAAGACAGAGCCAAATGAAATGCAATGAATAAAGATGCTAAGAGACTTTTTATGATGCCACCCAGGGTGCTATGAATGAATATCATCCTCGTGATCGTTGTCACAGTACTCAAAGGCAACTTTCCTCAGTCCGTATTCATACCTGAGACAAGGATATGGCATGTACGTTGAGAGGATCGTGTGATCAATCTATGCAAACTAACGATCCCATTATCGAGGGGTTCTTCGGGTATAGGGGGGTTTTTACGAGCGAGCTCTTAGCTCCTCCCACTTTTTTATCAACTTTCATATTTCCACCTGCAAAACTGTTGATAATTGTTTGGCTTCGCCAGCATCTAAAGTTGGCTAAAACAAATTCCATTTCTTGAAAAACTTTCACAACTTTTAAATGTCTTTAATGGGTAGATTACTCACAGGTTTTTTTGATACTTTCTTCATTTAAAACTCTTCCTTTTAATGTAATAAAAGTCCTCGATTAACCACCAATTAATAATCGCTTTTGATCGAGCATAAACCACTTAAATTAGCCTAATTTTTCCACATAGAGTGCTTAAATTTCTCTGCCTACTAAGTACCCCACAAGTCTTGAGCTCTCTTCATCCTCACTCCATATCCATTCTTCACAACTTTATTTATTTTTATTTTTTTCCTCTCTCGATTTCTGTTGCTGTTGCTGTTTCTGTTTGGCAATCGATTCGCTTTGGGCAGACGTAATGTGGTCTGTTGTCACACATTGGAACGGCCTTGATTGTTTCCACGTTCCCTGCTTCTAATGTCTTTATCAGGGGCTCTGTAACTTTGTTGTTTTTTTTTTTGTTTCTCTCTTGGTTTTGTTTGCTGTCGTGGCTGCCCATGCCTGCTGCCTGTTGCTGTGCAACGAATTTCCATGCAGCCCACAGAAGGCGAAGGCGCTCCTTTCAACCGACCACTCAACGGGTGTCTGGGATGCTTAGATAATGAACTATTTAGAGCCATGATTTTTAGAAATTAGGGAACTTCTGCTAGCACAACTTAATTAACCATGCCATCCCCTTTAGTTTGGATCTGCCTGGCAGACCGGAATAATACTAGGAACTACTGTAAACCTCTGGCTGTTCCTCAAGTGGTGGACATTTCTACAGTTCTCTAACTGATCTTTCATTATTTTTGCAAGAATATTATTTTGATTAAAATGAACAAGAGTTATCACACTCTTTTCCTTCAGATAATATCTATTCTTTTTCCTTCATGTCTTAAAAAATTGATCCCTACTTCTAATATTTTTCAGACTGATCACACATTTTCCTTTAATAGATTACCCAATCGTCTCAGATTTTCTGATAATCCTCCAATAATTTCCATTGGTTTTGGATGCCGTTTTCTAAGTTATATTTTCTGAATATCGGAAGATGATCAAGACCTTTTGAACTTTAGCTGCGATTATTAAATACATTCAATATTTATGCTCTTTACTGCTGAATAAATTCAAAAAGCCAGCAAAATCCGCTCATATTTGTATTCCAACCTTGACTTAAGCATTGAGCCTCCTCGCTGATCCTCAAGCTGTCTGCTGATCCTCAAATATTTCCGTTGGCTTGAGCAGATCAGACTACAGCAGGCGGCGATTGACTTTTCGGGTAATCCTAGGTAAGTTTTAGTAAATACGCGTCTCAATATGCAGGCAGAGAGTCTGCCCCCTTGTCACGGCCCATGCCCAGCCCAGAACCAGCCCAGAACCAGCAAGCAGCCCAGCAGATATTATAGTTCCAGGGAGCGATTGTAAAGTGAAATCCTCGCTAAAGCATGCAAACAAATAGCAGCAAAGTGCAAGATTAGAGGGAAAGTCGCACCAGCTTAGGAAAACGAGAGAGAGAGGAGAGGGATCCTGAAGATCCTGGAGATCGCCAGTTGACTTTTTCAAATATTTTGGAAAAGTTCTCAAGTGTTGATCTGTAGCTGGGCATGATTATAGCGGATAATCGCATTACAGTCCAACGTTTTATTGATCAACATTTGTAAACGATTTGCCATGGATGATGCATCGTCCAGGGGACGAGTTAAACCGGTGCTTCGCCACCACCCCAGGTAGTCCAACCCATCCAGCCCATCGAGAGAAAAAAAGAAAATGCTGCGGCTTAACGCAGCCAACGCCCATCGATAGTATGGGCCATGGGCGATCCTTGGATGGCCTTTCCCGATCTCCAGGCGGCGATCAGCAGCAAGGCGAATGCGATTAACCCTTTGCACTTGGTGGCAGTCGAACCTGGTAGCGGGTCCATGTCCATGTCCATGTCTAAGACAGTTTAGCCGGGCTAATTGAAGGCATTAGTTGTTTGTGGGTCACGAATTTGGCTGGGCTGTTTTGGGCTTGGGCTTGGGCTTCCCGGGAATGGCATTGTCTGCAAATTAGCATATTTCATATGTCGCATTTCGCATTTCGATTGAAAGGAACTCCTCAAAGTCTGCCCACAAACCAATGTTCGGTTCGCCGCAGAGTCCTGGTCAACAGATTCGTCATGGCTGAGACGACGCATTGTCTGGCGGAAATATTCGCTCACTGTTGAGGGTGATGCCCGTTTACTGAGTGCCAAAGAGGAGCCACTGCCACATACACCCACTTTTAAGAAACTCATTAGCCTGGGGGCCCAAACAAAAACAAAGCCATCCCAATCCAATCGACTGCTAAACGTTGTCGGCACACATCTGAGACCCGGAGGCCAAACAAATTGATCATTAAACAGAAGGCGCAAATGGTAGGCGCAACACATCGTTGTCCAACAGCAGATCAGCATCAGGTCGAGATCAAACATCTGGAGGCACGGCACTGAACTGTTGAGCTCTGTGCTCTGGAGTCTGGCTCCGTGCTCAGGGGTCTGGGCCTGCTGCAGTGCCCTAAAGAAAGTGATGAGGCGCGGCGATCAAGAAAAGACGTCAACAAGATT